ACTTTAAGGGCAATATCATATTTCTTCTTCTTCTTTTTTAAAGACCAAAGAACTTTATTGTAAGAAAGGGAGTATGATAAATAGTTATTATACAAATTACAAAATTTAGAGCTCGATAAATGTTAGAGAAACAGACTATAAAATCTGTTCTATAAATGGTAGGAGGTGCTTAAGAGTTTTCGAGATCGTTTAATGAAATCAGCGAATAAATGCTATTCTTCATTGATGAAAATATGTAAATACTTAGCTTGGCTTATTGTTTGGAATAAGCAGGAGATTTAATTTTTAATTCAAGAAAGAAGTAGAAGAATCACTTCTATTGGGTTTCTTTCTTATAACACATTACCGTCATTTCGTTTATCGAGATCTTTGGAGCTAAGTACTTACAATTTCAAGGTAGGAACTACAATTGAAAAGTTTCTTTACCAAGTATTTATAGTTTCAAGGTAGTAACAACAATTTCAAACTAACTTTACTAATAACACTAACAGGTTGCTTTCAAACTAAGAAGTGAACCAAGTTGTGTTTATTTTTTGCTGAACTTCAAAAACAAGCATAATCATTCCACGATGTAGCATTTCCTTTTCTTCAATAGGATTATTTTTAAAAATTTAATATCATTTCAATTGGCCAGGAATGTCGAACAGAATTAGCATTATTCATAAACGTAATTGCTTTTCACAAAACGCTAATCAAATCCACTTAAAAGCGGCGCCCCATATCCCCCAACTTCTAATCGGTGAGTGCGCGTTCTAATTATATAGCTGGGATATGCGTCATTTGATATGCGCCTGGAATATCCCTCCAAATTGGAGTTTGCTTTTTAGAAATAGGCGTTCAATAAAGCAAGTATAGGAGAAACTAAATTAAGCTCATTATTTTGAAGAGTAGTTTGGAAAACTAAGAAAACATTATGCCCGTATGTGAATCAATATTTTAATAATATTTTTATATTTCTGCCAGTCTCAAAGTTCTTGAAATCAATTCCGCACACAGAAACACACACTCTCGAATATTTTGAAAGTAGCCCGTCGCGTGATAGAGGATTACTTTGAGTTTTCCTTTAAGTTTACAGTTATTTTGCAGTGGAGAATTATGGAACTTGAACGAGACCGTTTGGCGCTCTTGATGGCCAAGTCGCAACTGTTTGCCTCGACGACAGGATAACAAATGTCGGACGACGATGCGCCGACATAGACGCATAATGCTACCATATGTTAGCAATTTTTATTTGCCGTGCTTCTGCTCGTGTTGGTTCGTGCTGGTTGGTGGTGCGGGAAAAGCTCCTTTGGGCAACGACTGGCCTTCGTGTGTGGCTCGGGAAAAAGCTCTCGATTGTTATCAGCGGGCGGCCGGCGTTCGTGTGCATTTTGTTGATAACGAGATGGCGCTGGCTGTCCAGCAATTTGTCTCCATAGGGCATTGCTGTGGCAGCCTGAGGTCGTGGGCTGATTGGTCGAAGTGGGGACTGGGGGACTGGGGTATAAACGGGTTTGGTGTCGAGTACAAAATGCTGGCGTCAATGCTTTCGCGATGGTCAGCTAATGGTACGTGCTGTGCTGTCCTGCAACTTTTACTTTTGGTATTTATTTAACATAGTGCCTCAAGGCGCAGCACTTTGCCTTAGTCCGACTTAAATGTCCTTGTGGCCTCTGACATTTTTATATCAGCAGCAGCTGCTTCTTTCACCACCAACACAACAACCTGTTGAGCCGGCGAGTTGTTGTCCTGTTTGTCCGTTTGTCTTGTGGACTTGAAATTCCACATACAATTGACAGCTTGATTTTATATACTATATTTTATATACATACAAGTCTATGTATGTACATATGTACCTCCTAGTGGTGGTATGAAAGGAAGGCTTATATTGTTGACACCATGAAGTGTTATTCAGTTCATGGGCTTCTCGCTTTAAAATCATCGAAACCATTCAAAGGGAGCTCATGATTTTAAATGTAAATGTAAATTATATTTTAATAGCCAATCCATCCAAAAATTAAATTATCAGGCATTTATGTACAACTTTAAGCTAACATACGAAAAAGTAAACTTATTTTCTTGAAATGTTAATAGAAAATCAATTTGCTGCATATTGATGGGAAATATCAATTGTTGAAAATGTTAAGATTACATTTTTCATTGAATTAAGTTTATTTGCATAAAAAAGCAATGAATATTCTTCTTTCTTCTAAACGACCAGAAAATCGAAATGAATATCATTTTGGTTTCGGTTTCCATTATGATTCGCATTCTGGTTTTCATGTTGATTTCTGTCCCGATTACCATTTTTTTTTTATTCAAATTCACATTGTTGGCCCCTTTCTGATTCCCATTTTCGTTTACATTTTGATGCCCATTCTGGTTTCTGTTTTGATTCCCATCCCGATTACATTACATTTTGATTCAAATTCCTCTTCTCGTTCACATTTTCTTCACCCATGTCATTCCCATTTTCGTCCTGGTACTGCAACTTTGATTCCATTTACATCATTATTTCTTAAATGTATATCTCTGAAGTTATGGTATTGTTATTTTAGATCGTGACTTATTTAATTGTGTCATAAGAATTGAAAGATTTATATATATAATACGAATGTTAAATCCAAAATTGGTTTTCATTATTGATGGAAAGATGGAGGATTTGAAAACTATACATACTTACATCAACCCTTTGGAGCATTGATATCCAAATTGTTGACCGATGGTTTTATTCAAAGTGTTCCGATCCGTAATCTAGTCAAATAATCTTCGAAAAGTTCACAAATTTCAAAATGAACTGTATTGTATTGTTTTAAAAATGATTCATAATGAATCAGTTTACGAATGGGGTTTGCTTCCTTAAAACAATAACTATTTTCATTTCAACTAATGTTAAATATTAATGCTAAAAACAAGGAGCAGCCCTACTAATAAGTTTAAAATATTATGGTAAATGCTAATAGACCACTAAATATGGTCTTCTGAGTCTTCCGAGAATGAAAAACGAGTCGATATAGCTATGTCCGTCTGTCTGTCCGATGATGAACGCAAGGATCTCGGAAGGTACAAGAGCTAGAATAACCAAACTTGGTATCCAGATTCACCAGATCATGTTTGTTAATTTTTTCTGATGTGACTTATTTGATTTATTTCTGTATTATATAAAAAAAAAAATTAATTTTTTAAATTAGTTTTTAAATAATACAATATTTGTTTTATATTTATAATAATGATAATGATAGATGTCCTTTTTCGTATATATTTCATTTCCTATCCGTAATTTCTTCTATGTATGTATCTAATTTACATAAATAATAATTATATAATTATTAATTTATTACATTTGTAAATAAAAGAAAATAAAAATTACTTCAAATATATTTAAATGGAGCTTTTATTTGTTTGATGGGTAAGGGTGGTGAAGAAGGAAGCTCCCATATAGCTGACTTATAAATAAAAAAAAATGCAGCTTGGCCAAAACGCTTGGAATTGCTAAAAGCCAAAATCTGAAGTACCAGGCGAACATAAACCAGCAGCAAGATCCATATTTTTGGAAAATTTAAAATTAAATTCGGCCGCCTAAAAGATGCTACACTTTTTTTAATGTTAGCCAGTCTTCACACCTTTTAGCAGCTGGGGCTCAAACCAATGTGGCAAATTGGTTTGAAGTTCGGCTGTTAAATGGTTTGAAGCCTGGCTTACATTTGTTTTTAATTTTCGGAAAATCATCTTCCTGCTGGTTTATGTTCGCCTAGTACGTAGCAAAGAAGCCAGTTTGCAAACTAAGACCGAGAGCAGCTGCGGCTTTCTTAAAATTTATAAAATCGCCTGCAAATGATAAAAGCCAAAATCTGAAGTACCAGGCGAACATAAGCCAGCAGCAAGATGCATTTTTTCTAAAAATTTAAAATTAAATTCAGCCGCCTAAAAGATGCTGCACTTTTCGTAAGTTAGCCGGTCTTCACACCTTTTAGTAGCTGGGGCTCAAACCAATGTGGCAAATTGGTTTGAAGTTCGGTTGTTAAATGGTTTGAAGCCTGGCTTACATTTGTTTTTAATTTTCGGAAAATCATCTTCCTGCTGGTTTATGTTCGCCTAGTACGTAGCAAAGAAGCCAGTTTGCAAACTAAGACCGAGAGCAGCTGCGGCTTTCTTAAAATTTATAAAATCGCCTGCAAATGCTAAAAGCCAAAATCTGAAGTACCAGGCGAACATAAGCCAGCAGCAAGATGCATTTTTTCTAAAAATTTAAAATTAAATTCGGCCGCCTAAAAGATGCTGCACTTTTCGTAATGTTAGCCGATCTTCACACCTTTTAGCAGCTGGGGCTTAAACCAATTTGACTAGATAATTATAAGCCAGGCCTCACACCATTTCCGCAGGCGGTCATCAAAACAATTTGGTAAATTAAAAATTTAATTCTGCTCCTGTATGAATGAATGGAAATAAAAAAGGAGACTTTTTAAGACTTGCTGCTGAATTATGTTTGCCTGAATTTGAAGGATAAGATCAGATCCTGCTCCCTGCAGCAAATCAATAAAAAGGAAAAACGTTGCTATATTTTAAGTTATTTTATTTGAAATTAAAAAAACTGCATAAAATATTTGCCTTATGGTGACAATTTAAAGGATAAATACACTTCTTTTTAATTCTGAAATTAAATCAAGCAGCTCTCAGAGCCTGATACAAATGGCAGCACATTTGTCACAATTTAAAGGCCATTAGATGCACTCAAAAGAAGGCGCCAATGCTAAGCAAATGTTTGTATTGCACTGATATCAATCATACGCCCGGTTGCACGCCATTGAAGAACAGACGAGGCGTCGTCAATATTTGCCGTCCAAGCAGCCTCGTCGCCGCGACAGGACAATTAACAGAAGCAGCAGGACAGCAGCACCAGCGGCTCCAGCAAGTTCAAATTACAAACTGACAACTTGACGGTCTGGCAGACACATTAAATCATGCTGCTATGTTGCCTTCAAAATTCCACGAGTTCCCATAAATATAAATTCAAGTACGAGTACTTGTGAACTTTTATTCAACTTCTTATATTTTATTTCTGTTCTTATTCTGCAACTAACTTGCTAGATGAATTTTCAATTCAATTATGTGTGTATATATGTTTCGGCTCCGTTAAAACTTTTGAATTTGTCGCACAAATGTGTGTATGTAAGGCACAAGTTATTTATTTTAATGACAGAGAACAGCAAATTAAAAGGGACGATTGAAAAATGATAAGAAACATTTATTGTTCAGTAATTTGCAAATAACTTAGAATAGAATCAGACATATTTATATAAAATATAGTAGAAGAAACTTTGTTAAACTTAAACATAGCACAAACTTTTAATAACCGAACGAAAATTAATCAGTCAAATCAGGCTTAGAAACAAATGGATACTGGGATACAAACGAATTCAACTTAACAATAGGTGTACGAGTATATGTAAGCATACTTATAAGTACGAATAAGTGTTAGCGGTGTCATAACATTAACATGCTAAGAATGTGCTGGATTGGGTGTACATGGGACTTATGCTAGGAAATTAGAGACTAACGAACATCTTAAAACATTAATATTAACTCTCCTTTACATTAGGCGTAGATTTAAACATTCATATACACTATGCTATGATGGGGCGACTTGTATTTAATTTAAAAAAATAATAATAATTAATCCTTGTTGTGTACACTTTGAGCATTCTGCAGGTTCAATTTGTGGTTTTTTATTTGTGACTAATGCTGTCGCGCATGCGCGCGTTTATTTTTCTGTATTGTTGGCCAATCCAGTTTGGCCAGCGATGGCAGAGCGTTCTCATTGCCGTGGTTGTGGCTGATGTGGTTGTTGTTATTATTATTATTATTGTTGCTGTTGTTGTTGTTGTTGTGGGGGTGCAATACACCAGCTGGCGCCTGCAGCGTATAATCATGGGGCATCATCATGGGCTGCAATGAACTAAAATTCACAACCGGCATTAGAGGCGGCGAGACGGGCGCATAACTCAAACGTCCCGCTGTCATGGCACTCATGTTGTTGTTGCTGTTGTTGTTGTTGTTGGTGGGCAAATTGCAGTTACTGCTGCGGCTATTGAGGGGCAATTGGGCTGCCTGGAGAGTTGTGGTTGGAAGTGTTGGTGGCACATTGAGACCAGGTCTTCTGCACCACAAAAGAGAAGGAAATCCAGAATGTTTATAAACGGGCTTAAGCTCAATTTTATGAAGTTTTTAAATGGAGTTACGAGGAAACTGACAAAGTTTTTACAGTGGCAAGCTACACAGCTATTTGCTCTGAATGGGTTCCCATTTCTAACATAGAAATTACTTCCTTAAAGTCTGTTTTTGAAATTACACCTAATTCTATTTTTACACTATTTTTTTAGAGATAATGAACCAATCACCTATTTTTGCATGATCATACAAGTATATTAATTTAATGTATGCAATAATTGAAGTTATTGTAAATAATAACAGTATAATTAAAGTTTTACAGAAATAAAAAAAAACCGTGTAAAAACAGAATTAAGTGTATATAAATACGAAAGAGTAGCTTTCGAGTTTTCAAACTATTCATGATTATTGAAAGAACTTACTTTGTTGACCCTATGCTGCAAACATAAAAATATCTTTATGTCTAAATTGTCTCTATTCTGATTGAATTGTAAGGCCATAGATAAAGGGCCTTGCGAACCTTCAACTACAACTTCAAAATAACATACAAGTACTAGCCGTTATTGCTTATATTTGACATATATACCCTTTCAAGAATTATTTACCAAGTTCTTGTCACTCCGAAATAAAACTATCAAGTTATGCTTTTTATTTTAAAATTATATTTCTATTCGAACTTTCAGAACTTCCCAAAAATATATGAGTAAAACATATAACTACCCCAATAAGGGGACTAATAAACATTATTAACCATTAAGAGACCTAACAAATATAAAATATCTTTTAAAAACTTGCTTTTTTACCCTGACAGAATGTTAGTGTCGAGTGAGAGCAACAAAATTGCGTTAAAACTATTCACTATTTTGAGCCTACTCAAACAAAAATAAAGTAAATTGTAAAGTCTATTACAAATTTCATTCAAATTGGTCAATTAAAAAAAAAATTTAGTTTAGGTTATGTTGAGAAAAGGGCCATTGTGATGTTATATGTTGAACAGTAACACTAAACGCTAACTCTACTCTACACCGGCTAAAGTTGTAGCCGGGATATAACACATTCTATCAGGCTTGCTCGAATTAAACATTCTCTCTTGCTGCTATGTAGTAACTATTCGTACAAATTTATGTTATATACATATAGTACGTCCCATTTAAAAGCGATATTATATTTAAAAAAAATTATATAAAACAGCTCATATTTTATTTAAAAAAATAATCTATCCGATAAGCATTGGATTATTACTGATTTCGAAGAGAAATTAAGTCTCCGATCTTAACAAACTAACTTAAATTGTGTAATTACTTGATATTATTTCAACCAAACTCTTTTGAAAATATTCGAAGTTAAATAGGTTTGAAAAAAACAACAATTTCAATATTTAACCTTATTTGTATGATCTGTGAACTCAGATCTGTGATTAATTAAGAAACTAACTTTTCACTACACCAGCTCGCCACTGTAAAAAGGGTGCATAAGTTTTGAAGTGGTTTCTACGATACTTTTCAGTTACAATCCGCACTAATCTACGCTCAATTGGTTTGCAGGTGAGGATTTGTCTTGCTTTAAATTTTCGAATATCAATAGTATGCTGTGTTAGGTGTGATCAGTGCTAGCAAAAGTACGAGTATATATCCTTACTGAGTTCAGACCCATTTACTTGACTGAGCGACTACGTTTTCGCGCTCTTACACTCGCCCCTGCTCAGTTTAACTTTCATATTGACTGTCACTAAAGGCAGCTTTGAGCTGTTTTGGGGGGATGGAGGGAGCGTTGGGGGAAACAATAAAAGCAGTTAAGCATGACATATTTACAGATGTACATCGGGCAGGCCTATAATTATTTGACTATGGTATTGAAACACACTTACCTCTGCTGCGTTATGGTGAAGACGGATTTGCTCACAATACGTTTGCCGGTATGCCAAATGCGTCCAATGTATTTGATGCGCTGTATCGCAATAATGGCCAGAGCGACAGTTCTGTAAGATATGGAAAAAGTCGAAACATGTATAAAAGAATATGAATAAACAAGTGGATAAGCTACTTGAAATACTTTGTACATATATGTTGAATAATTATCGAAATTAAAAAAATTAAGAAAATGTAATGTAAAAATTCCGAATTCCGAAAATGCCAAGAAATACGGGAGTTATGGAAAATCACTAATAGCGGGGGATGTGGGGGGATGTATTAGAAAAAACAAACAAACTTGATCTGCTTAGGGGTCAGGACCTGAATACCAAGTTTGGTTATTCTAGCTCTTGTACTTGCTGAGATCCTTGCGTTCATACAGACAGACAGACAGACGGGCATGGCTATATCGACTCGTATTACTGATCAATAATATATATACTTTTAGGGGTCTGTCACGCCTCCTTCTGTATGGTACAGGGTATAAAAAGCGTGTTAAAAAGACACACAATTTTGTCCTTTCTCTGACTTGGGAAAATCTGAGTAACACGTTTGGATATTCTGCCTCTTATACTTTCCGAGATCTTTGCGTTAATACGGACAGACAGACGGACGGACTTGTGTGTGTTCTATATATTCGCCAACCCATTTAGCTTTTGTGTATAAGATATGAACAGCAAGTTTTTACAAAATGTTTTCTTCCATTCAAATAGGAAATAAAACAGACATGCCAACCTTTGTAGCTTTCCTTATTATTTCTTTAGCAACACGTTGGCAGCTTTTGCGGCATATTTTGTGTGAATTCAGGAACTCTTTTTTAGGAAACTCTTTAACAACACCTTTTAGGAACCCCCTTTTTAAAATGCAACATTTTCAAAATTTAATAGGTAAACATGTAAAACTCTTTTTGCAATTTGAATCGCAAAACTGCAAAACATTTCATACGGTAGAATATAAGGTGGGGTAAACGATATCTCATGATAAGAGATTTCTCTATCCTACTTTCTATAATTCGCGTAAAACATAAAACTAATATAAGAAACGTTTCTGTTGCATTGCTCCGTTCGATTTTCATCTTCCGATTGTCTGCATAAAAATGTTTAACACTTAATCCATGGATCGCATTAATCACAAAAATTTGAATCAAGTATTTAAACCCTACAAGAAGACTCTTGTAATGGACTTGATATTTAAACAAGTGTCATGCGTTTTTTTATATACAAGTATATTTAAAGTATTGTAAGCCATTGGCTGGCGAAATCAAACTGAAATCTAATATCAAATACTTGGCTAGTTGCAGTCTTTCCTTCTTCCCCAGTTATTCTGCCCTCGCCAAGAGGCTGTTAATGTTCTGGTATACCTTTTAATACTTCACATTGAATGCAAAGTATAAACGAATAATGAAATCTTATATATGGCTAAATTTAGAATTTTGGAGCTCCATATAACATAAAAGTTATTTAATCTCGTCTTTTTTACGATGCCACATGAACTGACAATGATTGTCCTTTTAGGACAGCTCTTAAACAAAGCAACAACTAAAATTAGGCTGTTCTAATATTATAATTATTTAGTTCCTATGTAAAAGATATCATAGCATTAATTTATTTCCATATACTCACTTGAACAGTCGCTTCTTATTGCGGCGCTGTGGTGGCTCTATTCCTGTCGTGGCTGCGCGAGCCTGCAAGGCCATCTGCTCACTGGCCTGATAGCCCTCGAGCGTGAGCTTGAGATAACGCTTCTGATAGACGAGTGCCTTGCGGTGTGACTCGACGCGGAGATAGCGGCCGAGCAGTTGCCTGCAACGCTCCTCCAGCTCACTGACATTGGCCTGACCACCGCCCTGCTCCAATTCCTCGCACTTCTTTTGCAAGGCGAGCCGTTCACTGGCCAGCATTTGAACGGTCTCGGCCATCTGTCGATTCTCCTGCGTATTCTCCGCCAGCAGCGTATTTATTTCCTTCATCTTCTGCAGAAATTGCTGAGGCACTGTGTCATCGGTGCTGTGCGACAATCGATCGTTGGCCTGGGCCAAGGCCTCGGCCAATTTGGCTTCGCGCTGTGCCGAACGCTCGACATCGAAACGCAATTGTGTGACCTTTTGCTCGAGACAGTCGCGTGCCGCTTCGGCTGCCAGCAGCTTGCTCTTCAGCTCATGCACCTCGGCCTGCAGCTGGGCATGTTCCTGATGCTGTCGAGCTCGATTGTTGGAGCGTCGTGTTTCTGCCTCCTGCAAGGTGGCCAGACGCGACTCCAAGCTCTCGATTTCGCCGGCCTGTAGGGTAAGACGTTCGTTGTAGTGCTCCAACTCCTGCTCGGCGCTGTCCTTGTCGCGCGTCAATTTCTCCATTTCGCGCTTCAGCCGCTCACAGTAGGCGACACGTTCCTGCAGCTCCTTATCGTGGCGCTGACGTTCGCGTTCCGCACTTCGTTGTATATCCGCGGAACGTTCGCGTTCGCGCTCATTCTGCGCCGTCAGCATTTTGATCTCGCTGCGCAGGCGCTCGCCCAGCTCCGATTCGAAATCGGCGCGCGGTGATTTACGCGGCGATTCGGTTGGAGACTTCAGCAACATGGAGCTGTTGCGTCGACTCTCGGCCCTTTGGTGGGCAGTTAGTTGGGCTTGTAAGCGCTCCGCGTGCTCGCGTTCCATATCCAGTTGCTTGTGCAGCTCGTCCTCAGCGCTTAACGCGTTCTCGAGACGCTTGCGCATAGCCTCAATGATGACGACGTCCTGTTCCTGGATCTCCTGCGAGTGCTGCTTCTCGCCATACAGCTCCTTGCTCAACATCTCGCACTGCTCCCGCTCTACGTTCAGCTGTAGTCTGAGAGCCTCAATCTGATTGAGCAGCTCGCGCTCACCGCTGAAGTTTTCGTCGTCGGTGCCGGGCGAAGACTCCGAAGAACGTTGCGGGATTTTTGTTGAGTCTGGTTTGGCTTGGTCCGCTGCTGCTTCCACTTGCAACTGTTTGTTCTTGAGCTTCGAGTCCAGATTGTTCTCCTCCTCGCTCTCGATGGCCCGCAATATGTTCGAGTCCAGCTGTGCCGAGTAGTTCAGTTCCTTCTCCACCTGCTGCGCAATCTCGTCCACCGAATATTGCTTGGAACTGTGCTCGTTCTGTCGCAGTCTCTCCAGCTCCCGCTCCAACGTCTGCTTTTGTAGCTCCAGCTCGGCAATGCGTTCCTGTGCCTTTTGTAGTTGCGAAGCAAGCTGCAGGCTACGTTCCTCTTTCGCCTTCACCTCGCTGTTTAGCTGCTCCAACTGGCGCTTGTGGGCCGCCAGCACGTCCTGCTGCCGCTGCTGGCACTGAACATGCGCGGCCGTCACGCAGGTAAGCTCTTTGCGCAGCGACTCCCGTTCGCTGGCCTCCTTGGCCGCCGTTTCCAATACCTTCGCCTCCAAACCATCTATGCGGCGTTGATATTGCTGTTCGCTCTGCACGTAGCTGCGCTGCTTGGCCTGCTCCTTGGCCAGCAGCTGGCGTTCTCGCGTCAACTGCTCTTCCAGATGCGCCAATTTGTACTCCAAGTCGCTCTGTTGCTTTGCATATTCTCCGATTTGCTGCTGATGCGCGTTCGCCTCGCGCTCCAGTGCGTCCAGCTGTTTGGCCTTCTCCTCCTCCACGTTGGCCAGCTTTTGACGCAATCCCTCCATCTCCTTTGTTAGCTGCTGCACAGCCTGATTCGAAGGGGTCACGGCAATCACATTCGACAGATCGGGCGTTTGCTGCAAAATACTTGGCGTCTTCAGCTTGGAGTCCTCGGTCAGATTCGAGAAGTTGATTTGCCGCGGCACTATGCCAGGCGTCATTGAACTGCTATTGTGGACCGTTGTGGCCAGCGCTGTGGGATCTTGAAAGTAGTGCGGATGCTCGAATGTGTTGGTCGGATAGGGCTGAGCAAAGACGCTCAGTTCGTCGGTACGTTGCTGCGTGAGATTGGCAACAGCTTCCTTGGACGTGTCCTGCAATTGTAAAATAGTATTAGATGTGCAGCAGCTTACAACAAATATTTAAACGAGAAGAACATTAAGGTCGCAGCAACACGATTCTTTAATACCCACCCAACTATACTTTACTTTCCTTGATTCCTTTCACAACTATATTATAAAGTAAATCGATTTTAAACCACCTTTTGAACATGTTAAGATACTATTCCAATCTTATAAGTACAACATTTTGTTTAAAATACCTTTATACTTATACAAAAAAGTTGTTCTACCATCGTTCCTATGACAGCTATATAAAATAATGAAGCTAGATATGATTTTTTGTAAGCTTGGTCTCTATATTGAAATGACGAGACTATATGCCAAGTTTCACGCCCCTAGCTGTTGTGGTACAAAAGATCTGGACGGTCATACAGACAAACAGAGGTACGTTTCTTAGCAAGCACATAAGTTATCCCTTCGGCTACAGGTTAAAAAGATTCGTTTTCCTTTTAAAACAATTTCGTCTCATAAGTCATAATTTTATTTAAAGAAACTTTTTAAATACCAATACTAGTTGGTAAACATTTTTTTTACTTTCCCCCGCGCTCGCGTAAGGACAAGAATAATTCGCTTTCTTTTAATAACACACTCCTACCTGTCCTAAAAATCACAATTATGGAAACTTTATAATTACAAATCCATGAAGACAGACAAATATTTGTCTGGCATATTATAATCATATTGATGTTTACATTTTAAAATCTAATCAGGAACACATACCGACCTCTACTCGTCATCTTCTATTATAAGAGAATACTATTGTCCCTAGATCTTGGCAATATATTTAAATATTCAACTCACCATAGTTTTGTGCATGAAGCCGCCCGTATTCTCATTCAACAGTCCCGGCGAGGGTAGGACATTAAGACTACGCATTGCGGCACGTCGTTCCACATCCGGCTCGGCGAACTCTGTAATCGATCCGATGTCGCTGAGCGTGCGTGCACTTAGCTTGGCACTTGTTTCCTGCTTGCCACCCACCTGGGGCGAGGACGAAGCGTGGCTGTCCTGCAATGCGGCCTGCAACTCACGCTCCTTGGCCTGCAATTGTTCACGCAAATGATCGATCTCGTCGTTCTTGTCCACCAGCATGGTTTCCATGAGATCGGGCAGTGCGAGGCGATTGATCATCTCGTTGCGTATCTTCTCCTTGAGTTTGTGGATTTCCTGACTCTTCTGCTGTATATCTGATTCCAAACGCTCGATCAGATTGCGATCCGGTTGCAGGCGCGATGCCAACTCGGATTCCAAACGCGTGATCTCCGCCTTACTGCGTTCCATCTGCTGTCGCATGGTGGCCATTTGTTTGTCCCGCGCCGTCAGCTGCTCCTTAAGATTCTGCACCTCGCTCTGGAGCTCGTGGACGCGAGCACTGAGATCGGAGGTGCCCACGCGATGCAGTTCCTCGGCACGTTCGCGCTGCTCCTCCAGGCGCGACTGCAGCGTCGATATGCGACGCGTCTGCTCATCCATGTGGCCCTGCAGCGAGTCGCGTTCATGTTGCAGTTCCTGCAAAGAGAATTATGCATCATTATTTGCAAGCGTCAATGACCGCGGCAGCTGTGAAAATAAACGCAATTGGCCGCCGCCCGTCTGATCTGCTGATCTCCAGCCTGCCCCCACTCACTCACTCCGAGTTCTCGCCTTACTTAACCCCTTACTGGGCCTCCGACCAACTTCAATTGAAATCGAGCGCATCTCTCTGAATGCAACAAACACACACACCCACAAACTCGCAGTATCTGTATCTTTTGCCTCAGTTGTTTACACAATTTGTGCCGTTCATTTGATGCGGGCATTAATGTTGCCCCCGGCCCCGGTCCCTTCACCGCTCCAACTTCCACCGCGTCGTACCATGAACATATCATATTAGTCTTTCAATTGCCTGCGATCTCGCTTGTAAACAGCCACGAGACAAACATACTCGTACATACTTGTTTACACACTTATTATGCTTAGAAGTCCCCCACTTTACACATTGCTGATTGAGTTGGGACAGGTTGTCTTATGCTCCGAGCTATGCGTCTCTATTTCCTGACAGCTATTGAAAGACAACGCTCTTAAGTCAACGACAATGCAGGATATTTATATTTCTAAATTTGTCTATTTACTTTCAGGTAATTGGAAATCTCTGCCAAACAGTTCAACACTTCAGATATAGAACTCTAAACTCATTTCTAAATACAATGTCTTTAAAGAGCAAAGATAGGCTTATTTTATTGTTAGACTAAAGAAACTAAGGACAACATCGGTCTTGAGGCTATAATTAAACATAATATTTACGGGTTTTTGTTATATAGATTTTAACCAATCATATTCACTTTTTGAATTATATTTATAATTTTATTTAGCGGATTGGACATTTCCCTCCTTCTCTGTTCGTCTTTCTCTGTCCCTCTTTCTCTTTCTACTCCTTACTTTTTGAAATTAGCTCTGGTAGAATTAATTTTCCTCCTCTACTCACTATTTGTTTAGTTTCTTAGGTCTATAATGTCTCTGAGCACATATGGCCGTGAATCGAGGGCATAAAATTTCCCACAACTGGTGGAGGCATTAATAGACGTTATTGTAGTTTTTCTTAGGCTTTCTTATCTTTCAAGCTTAAATAATAATCTTGTATTAAAACACATCTTTATTTTCATTTTTAATATTTTAATATATATAAGATGGTAATATATATTGTAATAATTGTCATAGAATGTATCGACAGCACTACTTGTTGATTTATTATATAAAAAAAAAATAAATAAATAAACTGCCACCAGAAAGAGGTGTTTATAAAAAGTCATATTTTTGGTGTCTTATTTAAATTGTAGTACGCATTAAATACAAAAATTGTTTAACTTGTTTCTACCTATAGTGTCTATTTCTACAGTCAGCCCCTATCGCTTAAACTCAAGACAAAAATGAAGTAACTTTTTTTTTTTTTGGATAAGGTTTTATTTTTTATATTGAAAACATATCCTAAAAAATATGCAGAACTGTTCCTGCTTCTAATTTGGTTCAAAGTGTTTCGAAATAAAAAACTTTAGCATTACCTTAAATTAAAATTATAGTTTCTTTAAATTCAGACATGGAGACAGTATGTACTGCTAAGTTAGTTTAAGTAAATTTGGTGTATTATCTGATAATATGTCTCTTAAGCAGTTTTGTAAAGCAATGCTAGTAACTAACGAACAGACTTATAAAGTAATGGCTGATCTCAATCAAAATTTTAATGTCTTTCTATTATTCTGTCAAATTTTAATCAAATCATGATAAGTAATTGGGTAATTCAGACTAGTTTCCTCCTTTGCCTTAGTACACAAAAATCCAGTTAAATTCAAATTGAAATCAACTGCATTTTTTCGTTTCTGGCAAATTTAGCACAAACCGGGTACCCCATGCATGGAGCAAGCTATGATGAGAATGGATGGCAGCTTCTATTTTTAAAATAGCCCGTTCCATTTTTGCTAAAATTACGAGCCTCGAATTGCTGCATAATGTGCCAAAAGAATTTTATGCAACGGGCTGCTGTGTGAGATTTTGTGGTTTGTAGTTGCAAGTAAAAAAGCAAACATACTGCACATAAATCTGTCAAATATTATGGCAGCATAAAAGTGTACAACATAATTGAGAAGTATGCAAAAAAAATAAAAACAAATTTCAATGGAATTGTGGGTCATTGTGACAAACAATAAAGAGCATACAACTACAAATGAAACTTGAAGGTAATAAATAATTTAGGCAAACAGCAGAAATATTGTGACAGTTTTGAGTCTGTGGGCTGTTGTCGATGATGATTGTGTGTGCCACAACAAATGAATGAAATGAATGATATATACTAGCTGCGAGTATATTATATACATGTATATAGTGTTTGATTTGTCTTGAGACGTTGACTGAACCAATCAACTTTTGTTAGAGGTGCATGAAATACAGATACATATTAGAAATTGTCAAGGTTCTTGAATTGAATTGTCAGGCAATTGATATATTTTTAATATCATTATAAATTGAAAGCTTTAGTTTAGTTGCAGCTAGCCGAATAAATAATAAATAATATTTCCCCAGCGGGTCGGACGATTCGGATTCGATTTCTGCTTCTTAGGCTTTTCTAGCTTATAAGATGCTTTTTATAATTTTTATATATTGTCCTTGACATTCAATGTTTGTTGACATAAATAAAAAAATTGTTAGTGCTGCAAAAAGTAAATTAGATTTCTCAAATCAACTAATATATTTTTCTGCACAATTTGTAACGGAAAGCCAGAATCTTTAAAATGTTCGATTCTGGTAATCCTTGAAAACTCACGCTAATTGGACTCATTGTGTATTTTTGTGTGTTTTTCGTGCACATCAACATATTTGAAGCACTTTGCGTAGCAGTGACGCGATTTGTTTATTAAATACGCACAACAAATTTAATTGAATTATTTATTTATATTTTTTATGCATTATATTCCGCACATAAAACCCCCAAAGAGTAGAGCGCGCACACACATTGCCTGCGGACTGTGCCTGCGAGACTGAGGGAAGCATTTTTTGCGCTGTTACTCAGCATCTCTCTCTCCCTCTCTCTCTCTATCTATCTATCTTTCTCTGCAGGCGCTGCTCTTCCAATGTGTAAAAAGTTGATTAAGGTGCTGGTCTAGCACAGACAACAACCAGAATCCGTTTACCCACCCCAGAAGCTCATGGCTTATACTCACCACACAGTTGCTGCGCAGCTGGCTGACTTGCATTTCAAGATCGCGCATGCGCTTCAGGGTTGCCTCCTCGATGCGTGTGTGCTTGTCGAGCCGCTCCGCCACGCGCTGCACTCCCTCGACCGTCAGGGACCGCTGACATGGTGATGGGTGGGTGGGCGAGCCCTGCACCGTTTGAGCCGCCGTTGCAGGCTTGCTGCCACCGTGTACGGACACATCTTCGGTGACGCTGAGGCTGCCCGAGTTGGAGGCCGTGTTGGAGTTGTGCAGGGACTCTAGGGTCTTGGTCTTTTGCTCCAGGGTCGTCTCTATGTCGCGCAATTGATCGGCCACCTGCTCCAGCACCAGGCTCTGCTCGGCCGACGGACGTCCATGTTGCAGCTTCTCCTCCAGCAGACGTATGCGATTCAGATATCCCTCACCTATGTCCGTCTTAAGGCTGTGCACCTCCTGCTGCAGTGCATCGTTGGCTCGCATTTGCAGGTTGACATAATCCTCCAGCTGCCTGGCCTTCTCGTCCAGCACCTGTTCGTTTAGCGCCTTGGTCTGGACCTGCGTCTCCAGCTCGGAAATAATCTCGCGCAGTACAAAGATCTTGTCTATGGAGGCCTTCAGTTCCACCTCGAACTTGTCCCGTTTGGAGTTCGCTTCATCCAACTGTTTGTTCGCATCGCGCAGCTGTGCCTCCAGTTGTGCGTACTGTGGATCATAGAAAGCATATATATTAGTCCTTTCCAATCAGATCGGCTGGGCTAGAAGTGGTGTAAGGGTGATTCGTTGCGGCACAAACTTACATGCTTCTTTTGCGCTATGAAGAACTTTTTAAGTAGTGTGCGGTGCATTCAATTTAGGGTGCATTAGTTTTCAAGATCAGTTTGAAGAGATTTATTAAAAATTGTGTTAGCGTGCATGCAAAAAGGATAGATTTTCAATTAGTACGACTAGAGACGAAGATCGACTTGTCACAAATATAACCGAAAATTCTTATAAATATTACAAATGGAAAAACTTAAACTATATATACTTGTACCACGTGAAAAAGGTCGCACATTAATAATAATAATTAATAAGCCGCTAGTCTCGCCATACAAATTATATTTTCTGTTGGACTGTAAGTTTTATTTTAACTTATTTTTTTTAGTGTAGTGTCATAATGCCAATACAATTAACATTCGAAACAAAAAGTTAACCACTCTATAAATATAGCACAAAATTACATTCACATTTTTGTTGAAAGGAAATTAATTTCAAATTGTAATACAAATTATTATTTTTGAATGGGTCAAAGGTGAATTAGATCAGTGCTGTAAACCACCTTTGCCGGTCCCAAAAAATAATCATTAAGCATTTAACTCAATTTGAATTAATGAATTATTTGATTAAGAGTTTCTTTTATACATTTTGTAAACTTGTTTCTTACATTTTTCATACTTCTTTCATATTCTCTCTCTTCCACACTTCTCCTTTCATACTTCTATCATACCTCTTCCAGACTTCATTCATACGTCTTTAATACTTCCTTCACACTTATATCATTCCTCTTTCACATTTTCTTCCACACTTCTCATTTCATACTTCTACATACCTCTTCCAGACTTCATTCATACGTCTTTAATACTTCCTTCACACTTATGTATATCATTCCTCTTTCACATTTTCTTCTTACATCTTGCATTCACTTTGCATTTCTGACATTAATTTTTTTTTCTATACTTTGTACTTTCTTTAACTTTTCACTTTTTACTATATTTTGTACCTTCGGGCATTTAAGCTTATAACATTAATTGATTAAAATATAATCAAATATACTATAATTTATATTTATAATTGAACGTATGTTTTGAACGAAAGAACACAACGATATCAAAACAAACAAAAAAAATAAAAATATTAATTTAGTTTTCCGACTCTTAAACTACAGCTTTCCATTGAATGGAGGAAGATCCATAAACTGATCTTACCAGACTATACTCGAATATCAGTTTCGATCGAAATAAGTACGAATATATAAGTAGTGCACCAAAATATGTGTTCAAACATTCCTGCTGTGTACAAACAATCAAATAGGGGAATTATACATAAGCACATATGTATATTCCTATATGCCCATTTTTCCATGAATCTCCACATGGCTGCCATTAATGACGCCCTTGACTCCATTTATTCAAAGCAATTCATTATATTAAGCAGCGCTGATGGCGCCGCTTTCTGGGCGCTATGTGTATCAAAAGATCTTGAATCGTGCCCAACAGGTGCTTTACATTTTGTTTTCAGGGCGTCAAATGATTTTGATGCTCCCGTATACTATTTTATGAACTGTGGCGAATTGGGCGAAATTTTCACGAGTTCTACAATGGGGCTCCATGAATGTAGAAGTGTTCGGGTGTATGGCTTATATTTGTAAACAACTCATAAAATTACGTGTAAAATAGGACGTGCAGTAAAAGACGTTATATTGTACGTGCGATCGAGAATAACTCAATAAATTCCAATATACTTAAATTTAAAAAGAAAAGTACATTCATTGTTGTGCTCATATTTAGAAAAACGAAATTAAACGAAATTAAAAAGCTAAATTATATGAAAATTTCACATTTACTCGTAAGTGCTTTCCAACTTAGATGTACACATCTGATTCTTTGGCTAATGCTTTGTCATTAAAGATATGTTCAGACAGGCAAATAATTTTCACACAAATTCAATCTATTTTAGAAGATAAGCACAAAACTGTAAAAATGTTTGAAAACCTATCTTTTAGTGTAAAATCATTACTGCTTTTAATGCATTGGGCATCATTTATTGGCCAGATTCGATTATTTTATAATTTTTTTTTTTTTAAAGACTGAAGATCCATTTCCATTTTTCTTCATTTTTTTCTATAAACATACTATTTGCGATGAAAACACCCGAGGAGCCCTGCTTTCAATATAAAAATGTGTTTTAGTATTTCTGACAATCTAATAGCAAATTTGAGTTCCGGAAAATTTTTAATTTGGTGCCGAATAATGATTAAAAAGCAAGAAAAGAAAGAACCTCTAAATAAACCGTATTGTTCGGGAACTAATTTGTTTCTGTAGAAGCAAGTCTTTTATACAATATAGTGGTTTGATAAAGTTGGTATAGACATATAACTGCTTGATGCCTCAGATCGTACTGATTGTTGATGTAGCATTCTTTATTCTAGCTGTTACAAACATACACTTTAAAAGCACAATTCAGTTTCACTTAAAAAACCAAAGAAATAAACCAAAAATAAAAAAAAAATTGTCAAATAAAAAAAATTAAAAATATTTATATATATAAAAAAAATTTTATATGATACTAACTTTTCCATTGAAATCTTTTTCTATTAACGATCGCTAGAACTCTTCAAAATCGCAAATGTTTACATTTCGGGAAACCAGAAAAACCCTGTTAATTTATACTTTAATTTGTGGAAATTATTTGCCTAGACTTCTTAGCAATTTTGTTGCATTTTAGTAGACCGCCTTATACTACGAGTACGTGAGTAAGTAACGCTGTAAAGCTTCCGAACTTAAACCAATAACCAAACAGAAATGAAATTGAACCAAGGCTTATGACTAACAATCATGGCAACAGAGTTAAAATCAAAACCAAAACCAATCCCAAACCACGAACTTATGAGGCATTGCAATTGACGTGGAGTTGGACTCACCTCCTCGGAGGCATTGGCAAAGGAGCTGCTCTCCTTCTCTTTGTCACGCAACTGTGCCTTAAGGCGCTCGATTTCGCGCACAAACTCATCGCGTTCCTGTTCGCGCTCGGCCGCCTGTTCTTCCAGAAAGAGACGCGTGGCCTTTAGCTGTTTGTCAGCGGTGTCGATCTGTGACGGTATATATGTATATATGTGTGGGGAGGATCGTAATAAGGTTTAAAACTACGAACTGGCAGGTAGTTTCGGGCAATTAACTGATCATGCGTTTAGCACTCACACACAATATGAGGGGGGAACTTGATCGCGACGATCAGAGAGGACGCGAGAAGATCGAAGGATAAACTTTAAATGATGACTCACCTGTGCTTGCAGATCCTCGCGATCTCTTTTGCCGCACTCCACCACCTTGTCGCCCTCACGACAAAAGTCCTCGATCATTTGGAGTAAAAGCACCGTGCCGTTCTGGCTCTGCTCCCGCGGCTTCTGTTGTGTGGGCGATGAGAGCAGGTTTCGCGCCTTCTCCTGCAGCTGTGCAAAGCTAGCCGACGACTTGTCTGCCACAGAAAGCGATTGTGGGCTCTTGATGGCGCCCAAGCCATAGCCCTCCGCGTAGTCCGTGTGATTGAGCGAGCTGAGCTGTGATAGCTGATCGCGTAGCTGCTGCAGTTCCTGACCGAGCTCCGCATTCCGATCGATGGTGTGTGTCAGCTGCTGCTGCAGGTTCTGTCGATCCGTCTCCGATTTGATCAGACGATTCTTCAGCTCGATCAGCTGGAAACTTAGCTCAGAGGCATTGCCCGCATGCTTCTGCAAATCGGGCGGCAAGGAGCTGTGCGTCTTGCCTTGGCCCGCATCGCTGCTCTTGCGCTGACTTGCCACGCCCAACTGCTGATCGTTGAGGGAGTTCGTGCGCAGAAACTTATTCCACTGCTGCTGCTGCGCTGTTACCTTCAGGCCATCCTCGGCCTCACAGCACAGCTCGTGCTCCTGCTTCTCTGTCTCCTCCAAATGCTCGGACGAGGCATTGGCGCGTTGATGATGCAGATCTGCCGAGAGACGCAACAAATACGCCGCCTCCGCCTTCAAACGCTCCAGACAATCATTCAAGTCAAAGTCCTCGCTCTGCTCCTCCACACTTTTGCTGTCAATGAACTGCAAGAGGCTGGGATCCTCAACCACCTCCAGCAGGCTGTGCACATCGGGCACAAAGCGCACCTGCTTGCTCGTGTTAAGCGATGTGTGCAGGAGGGAGCTGCTCAGTGTTTGGTCCTGATCCTCGCCACCTTCCTGACTGCGACTGTGGGCGAGCAAGCGTTGCACCTCCTCGGATAGCGTGGCATTCAGATCGTCTTCGCAGTTCGCCACACACTTGGCCAGCTGGCTGAGCACACTACGGAAACTCTTCGAGAGCTCGCGCAGGCCATCCCGTTCACTGATGATGTGCTCCAAGTCTCGCGCCGAGTCAAAGGTCAGATGGCGTTTGTTCTTCCGATTCAGTTGTTTCTCATATTCGAGTTTCATGCGCGACATCTGTGGGGGGAGTACGAGTATATTAGTATAAGTTATAGTCAAGGCGATGGTATTTATAGATCTTTTGGAAACTCACCTCATCGGCATGCTTAATATTCAGCTGCGTTATTTCCAATTGACTTTTGGCCGTAAATTTCTCACGCAGCAAGATCAGCTCCTTCGGCCAGTGCTGATCATCGACCGTATTCTCGGACAGTAAATTCTGTAAATACATGGAGAAATGGCGTGTTAAAAAAATGGTTGGCTTGATTTTCGTCAAAAAAGAAAAGAAAAACGGCTGAAACGTTGTCGATGAGAAAGTTGAATAGCCAGCGTTGTAGAGCTATTAAAACACAAAAGCGTCCGCCTCTTCTATACCCTTTAAATTGCATCGATCGTTTTTATGGGAAATATATGGCATGAAATATAAATAGCACAGATTTTATTGAAGCTGCAGAACAAAATCAGGCATCAAATAAACAAAGAAGTTGTTTGGAACTAAGATTGAATGCCGCACCAATTATTCCGCTGCTTTTTGATTGTTTTGCTTCGCTTTATTGAAACTTAAATAAGTGAGTTATTATTATTATTATTATAATATCGGAATAATATATAAGTTTTCTAGGTAAACAAGAGATTTCCTCACCGTTCGAGGCTATAACAGTATCATATATCTGTTGTAGCGACCATATTTTAATGAAACTTATAACCTAACTCACACAAAAGTTGTTCTCATAAAAGTTGTTCTAGGGAAGCCAAGTATGTATATAAAATAATGAGTCTATATATGATTTATAATAGGACTAGGCTACATTTCCAGTTTCATATTCTTAGCTTTATTATCATTCAAAAGATCTCGATGCTCAGACAGTCCGATTTGTCAGCTACCGCCTCCTTCGGCATTAAAAACTTCTTAGCATGCGCTTTCACCTTTCAATGGAGCTGTTTCCATCAACAGATGCCCTTTCCATCTACAAGATGCCTTTCAACACTGCCCAACGGAACACAAATATTTATTGTTTATAGCAGCATTTAAGCAAAATATTTACATGGATCAAAAAATTACGTGGAAACAGTTGTAGACTTTTGCGTTTGTGTTTCGCCTTTCCGCTTTATTTTCCTGACAATCTGACAAGACGATCGTTGTGGCTTCGGTAGAATCAAACAAATGTCTGCAGAAACGTCTTTATTTGTTTATAAGAGCACAACCCAAGACACCAATGGAAGACTGCAGCGCATGCAACGCATAAATCTTAATAAATGTGCCACCAAGCACAAGCAATAGGGCCAGAAAGAGTGCTTTTGAGGAGGAGTGGGTGAAGAGTTCTTCCAGAATCGGCTGCAAATTGCAGTTTCGTGTTTTCCTTCTTGTCTGCTTGTAAGTGTTTCTTGTCTTTCTTTATTTATCAACAAAAAAAGGAAAAAAGTTACCCCGCAATCGTTCAGTTCAATTAAAAGCTACTCCCCCTGGAGAAGCGCAACTGTCATGCAATTGCCATAATCTAAATAAAATTAAATGAAAATGCACATCAAAATTGAAAGACCGTAATTAAAATTGATTTTAAAAAGTACTCATCAACTGCTGATGGGCTGGTGTTGACTTATCGGCTGTGTTGGGGGGTCGCGATCTCGGAAGATTACAATTCTCCCTGATAGTCTTTGTTGATGCCTCGCTATATACTAGAATACAATAATAAGGCTGTGCATTATTTGCTAACACAGCTGCAGTCTCAAAAATTCACAATCAGTACATAATGTAAGCATTTTATTTGCTTATTTGGGAAAACAACATTTATTTTGAACTGCGAATACTACGTGCGCGAGTTCAGGCTGCCATAGCTCTCTCTCTCTCTCTGCGAGAGACGAGACGAGGAGAGAGAGAGAGAGAGCGAGAGAGATAGAGAGAGAGAGAGAGAGAGATAGAGATGCGAGAGAGCGAGAGATAGAGAGAGAGTAGACTCAAGCTAGAATCTCGCTAGCATTCTCTCGCTCGCTATCATATCTCTCTCTCTCTCTCTCTCTCTCTCTCTTCTCTCTCTCTCTCTCCTCTCTCTCTCTCGTCCATACATTCTCTATTTCCCTGAGATGGTGTTCTAAAAACTCACAGCTATTTGTCATTTCCACTCCTATATTTGTTCCCCTGCGACTAATTCTCGTATTATTTTTGTCACTTGCATTTCACACGCTCTTGCATATGATTTACTTTTTTCGATTTCATATTTTCAGCATTGAAGTATTTTTAGAATTTTGCATAACGAGGCGCGCAATTCCGTGTCTGATAACAACATTTGCATTTATAACAAAAATTCTCTCAATAATAATAGAAATGTTTATGGAATAAAGACTAGCTATGTTGCTCGTTCTACGTTCTACAAAACATGAGGAAAAATTCCGACCAAAAAATCAATCCCTGCAATTTCCAAAAGCAAATCTTCAGAAGAAAAATGGTGTAGCACCACGAATAATGAGTTGATCAAGCAAGTAAAAAAGCAAATCACAATTGTTTTGGAGCTCAAGCCAGTCTAAGAAGAAAAATAAAAACAATCTAATCTAAGATAGTACTATACAAGTACGTATATGTATAGTTATGCCAATAAAATCTGAAAGAAAGTAATGTTTTGTTTTGCTTTCTTTCTTCCGAACGTATACGTATATCACCACTAAGAAATTCTTTACTATCGCAAATTGTTAAACTCATTATGAAAAGGATATTGCGTACAAATTTTCGTTAACATAATCGTATACAACTAAAATATGCTTTTAAACTTATAACGAAAACAAACTGAAGCCTAAAGATTTGCTGATTTGCTAGAGTCGAGTTATGATCTGCACATACACTTTTACTCTCGATCGAAATTCCCATATTATTATTATCATTTAGAAAAATACATGTATACCATGAACATATCATATAATTAATCATTTACCAATTTTAAAAGCTTAAGCAAAAAATTATTATTCCGAACAATGAAATAAGAAAAGAAGACATTATTTCGTTTCCCAAAATTAATTTTAATATTAACGATTGCTTTATATTCTTTTGGTATTTTAATCTTAAGTTTGAAAAATCCCCAATAATATTTCACTAAAATAAAAAAATAAATATACAAAGTAGCGGAGAAAAAATTCCCAAAAAATTTTGTAGCAAAATTTTGTTTTTCAGCATTTAGCTTCAGTTCTGGACGATATGGAAATTAAGTGGAAATGCTTTATCCGTCACTTCTATGCGAATCTAAGTCCTTCTCCATTGGCATTGAAGACATTGAAATAATAACGAACAGCGAAAACATCTACGACTTTTATTAAGTTTACAAATACAAGTGAGAAAAATTTCAAACTACATTCTAATTATGTTCAATAGAGAACTTCAAACAGTTTTAGTTGTTATTCAAATTGAGCAGCAAGGCCAGCAGGCTGTACGCCTGATTCATTGTCTGCAAACAAATATGTGTATACGATTAATCATACCAACAATATAGCAACTCCAATTAGATCTAAAAATCCACAATACCTTGGTAAAGAGCGGCAAGCCGATGTCAAAGAAACCGCCAGCTCGCAGTTTCAAAGGACGATTCAAATAGGTCATAAAAACGCAAATCAAATGTCGCATTTTTGAGGACATAGGTGGCCATTGAGAAAAGTACGCAGCTTTGGTTAGCTGGTTCGAATAGTAGGTGATCTCATTGCCATAAAAACTGGGCACATAAATTTGCAGAGTCATTGAAACACAATATTGAAGCATGGCAGCAACAATTCCAGGATATTCTAGAATGTTGAGCTAATCGAAAGATGACTTATAGATGGATAAAAAGGTTGACCAGAATAACTTACAAGCTGCATGCGATAGATGCTTAGACAGAGAATAATAGAGCTCAGCAGTATTTGAATAGTGGTAGTATTCGAGATATAATTTTCTACCAGTTGGGCTTGGCTAGAAAGAATATAAATTACAATATTTTACAAAAGATGTTCTTTCAGACTGAAATTAAAAGAAGTAGCATGATCGATATATCGTTTTAGGCAACACTAGCTTCCTTATCGATTTACCTCTTAATGCGCCTATGCAGCGACACATTCTCGACAAACTGCTCCCTCAAATGGAGCTCATCGGCGGGCTGAAGTTTTTCCAAACGTAGACCCAACAACCGAAGGCATAGCGACAAATGCAGCATCATATAACAGTTTAGCATATCCAGGGAAATATTCGAAATGCAGGTGAACGACAGACTCAGAAGCGTGTAGGCATAGACTAGCCAGAACATTCGTGGTTGGTGCCAATCAAACGGCGTCCATATCCATACGGGCAACTCATTGGGAAAATTGACGAGCACCGATAAAAAGAGGCACGGCACCACGCCCTCACTACAGCCAATATATCCCTTGATAATAAGTCCGAATTTGCGCTGCTCCCGTTGCCACATCTTGCACTCATCACTCGACCTCAATTCAAACTGTTGGCTGCTGCTCCACTCCGTGAGCAGTTCCTGAACTTTGTGGGCATATCGCCAATTGTTGTAGATCTTTACACAGAGTGCCGTCTCCGTCAGAGTGATGAACAAGACGTCAATGGTGTGGGCGAAGTCCGTGCTCAGCAGCACCTCGACCCACATCAAAGAAGTGTATACGAAAGTCAGCAGAAAATGCAAAACATAGCGATAGCAGTGTGAATATTCAGAGAACCACCGCCTGGAGATGGTGTCCTCGGGCCACAAGCCGCAGGCGCTGAGTATACGCAGAAGAATGCGAGAGGCTTGGATATTATCGAAACTCATAGCGAAAAGAGCTCTAGGATCAACTGATTGGCTTAGGATCGAAGCAAGTGGCTTTTAAAGCTATTTACTGGATGAAGGATGCCTCAATTACTCAATTTAATGGGCGTAGCGGCTTTTCAATTAAATTTCAATTAGCAATGCCATGTGAAATTTTCTCGAAAATTACAAATCAATAAAGTAATTTGCATAGCAGCGAGCCCAGCTAATTGAATTCCGTTCATTCACAAATGCTAAGAAGAGGAACACCTCTACAAGCAAGCACAACTCCGCGACACAAACTATATATAGACACATCCACACAATACGTACATTCTCCAAAATATGCATCACCCGAAAAGGAAGCAACGGCAAACAAATACCAAAATTTTGCGCCTTGGACGACGAAAATAAACACAGATCGGGAAAAGTTAGGGGCGGTCACCAAAACACAAGAAACTCTCTGTTTATCGTTTCAGAAAAGGGCAACGACTTCAAAATTAGGCGATGGATGCTGTCGCTTGCTTTCGAGAAGTGTGAGGGTTTCTGTTCTTTTTTAGGGCTAAGTGCATCTTGTGAACCATGCCATTTGTTTGTTTACACCGAGTCCATATTTGGAACTTGCGGATTGAGGGGTGACAGTCGAACATGCAATGGCTCTGAGATGTTGGTGTGGACATGAAATGTGAAAGTGAATTAACGTGAATAACGCATTAGACACCCCTTTAATCAAAATAAAGGTTTTAATTACCAATTATTAAATTCTGTATAGCTTTGGCTTGTGCAAGGCACTTCAAAAAGGGGTCATAAAAGAGTTTTTCTAGATAAAAGTGTGTGTCTATCGGACTGTGTTCCAGACATTAAATAGTTAAGGCTTTGAGTTCTAGCACTAGTTAATTTAATATTAATACTAGATTTAATTCGTTAAAATAATTAAAAAAAAATAATATATTTATTTGGATATATAATTAGGTAACCAAATTCTGGCAGAATCTATGAGTTTTAATCAAATTTCTTGTTCACATGTGGATGTAGGTACATAAGAGGTGTAGTTTCATGGAGATCTTTAATAAACTAATTCCCTTCGAATTATAGCTAGAGATATCTTTAGTAAACTTTTAAATATTTATGGATATTAAATTTTTGATAAGAAAGAAATAATTCCCATAAATAGATTTAAAATCGAACGCCTAAGATGCAGCCGTTTAATCTCAATAAATATTTTTGAGCACACCATAAAGATATTGGATTTTAAAATTTATTTTAGGTGCTTGGGCAGGAATAGAAGGAACTTCATCAATAATTTTAATTTATTGCTGTTTAAATTATATATAATTTAATAATACAGAACGAAACAAATAAGAGAAGTAACCTGAATTCTTATGTCGCAAAGGCTTAAAAAAATAAACTTTTTGAAAAATTCACAGATACTTATATACAAGGAAACTAGCCACGCAGATGTTGACCTTAAGTTTTATAATCTTCATTAACACAAGCACCCACTTACATACATACATATAAACATATGTATGTACATATATACACAAATATATAGGGATGTGCGTTTGGTACGGTTTGTATTTGCTTACTTTTCTCTCAATTTTCTCGTATCCAAATATGCCTTTCATCTGTAATATTATTGTATGGAAGGTCTTGCTATGTTTAATTATTCACACACTTAGTTGCCATTGATTAAATATTTAAAATACTTTTGTTATCTCATTTGGTTTTCTTTACTTTTGATTTTGTTGTGTTTGTTTGGCATTTGAGCAACAAATGTTTAATCTGCGGTTCATGAATAGTTTTTGAAAAACCGTTGCACTCAAATTTGAATTTCCGTTAGCAATAGAGCATGCACACACTATTACTATTCACAAACACATACGCGCAAGTGTGTACATGTGTTTTTAATTTGACAGCACTGCGGCAGCTTCAATTAATAGACACAAGTTTATTTATTTGTTTGTTGTGTGTATTGCCGCCTTTTTGGCAATGATTTTTGCATATACGTATGTATGTACTCGTAAGTTATTGCTTCTCTTGGAGACACTTTTATCTCTTTTTATACACACATACATATACAAAATTGAAATGAATTTCTTCTCGCGATGTTGCCGCGATTGAAAAAAAAAAGCATGCGCCTGACACACGCACGCCTAGAAGTAACGGTAACGACTGAGAAGGCGTCGCATGCGAGCAGACTATTTAATGAAGATCAACCATCAAAGGCGTCTGCGTGTGAGAGGCAGAGCAGCAATGAAATGGAAAGAGAGCGGGCAGGGCAGTTGCCGGCATTCTCTGAGCACATGGTCGATAGTGCAGTGTCCCGCCAACTGCGCCTTTGTGGTGAGCGTGTTAAAATTAATTCAAATTTATGTACGTTAATTTCAAGCAGTTATGACCCAACAGCCATTACATATCCATGTATATATGTACTTAGCATCATTGTTATTATTGTACGGAAAGTGTGAGTTAAACTTGTTTGTCTGCACTTCTTAATTTACCAACTGCAGCAAAGTTGATTAATTCTAAGCGAGGCAGCACTTCCGGTGGAGCTTTAATAATGAACGCGAAAACGCCGTTAAAATTTCAATGTGTGTGGAGTTTATTTGATCAGTGCGGGTGTGTGTCTGTGTGTGTGAAGTACATAGGAATGTAGAATGGGGGCGCGATTGTAATTTTTGTGATATCTAAAGATAGCAAAGGGGTATCTTTCTCTTTTGACAATTTGTGTGGCGTCGAAAAGGGTGATTTAATGACCCATTTTACTGAATGTGGATTGATTTGGCAGTTGAATGTTTGTAGGTATGAACGCCTACCCCTCGCAAACGATAAGCTTTAGAAGCAACTAACTCTGAACTATACTTTTGTACTATCGATATATAACTATTTTCCAAATTATGTAGATTCCATGAAAATGATGAATCTTTGCAAAGCGGATTAATTTCATAAGGTATCCTAAGTTTCTATTTTTAAACTTTGGAGTATGCAATACTGTAGAAGCAATCGAGCCAGAAATAGTCTACATAGTTAAAGTTAAGCTTGCTACATCATACTTAAATTCAGATAATTTACAGTTAAAATAAAATAAATATATACGTCTAAAGAGTACCCCCTAGCCAAGATTGAGTATAACGCTCTATCACGTTTGTTTTTGTTTGTCTTGTCGAACATGGGGCATTTGTTAGTGGGGGACATCGTCCCGGCAAAAAGAACACGTAAACTGTTCTGACTGCCAAAAAGCTTTGAAATAAAGACTGCAAAACGTCTACAAATTGTCTGCAAAATTATGTTGGCGACACACAGAATGATATGGCAGAAGTGCAAGTCTATTTTTTGACAAGATAAGTGGGACATGGCATTATATGAAGCGTAAATCGTTGCTTCAATTATTTAACTTGTAAATAATATTTAATATGGTTGTGATAAATAACATAAAATATTTGAAAATAAAATAAGGTAATGTATTTAGAAATTTCTTCGTATTTATAGAAAAAATGTAGGTCTTACAATTTGCTTTCATTCTTTATTATAAAATTATTAAAATCTTTAAGATTGTATTTAGTATATACCGCCCATTTCCTCTAACAATATTGATACATTTTTGAAAGGTCAACGAAATTACAAAACCATTGTATTGCAACACTTGAAATTCTTTTGAAATGCTTAAATTATTTGACTATATTTCTGGCATATTTTTTCCATATAATATATACTTTCCCATTCTACAAAAAAAGCATTCTGACCTTCGTTTTTTTTAGTAAACTTGCCTAATGACCATTATAAAGATATATACTATATATCTCTCAGCCTGAATCCCACCCATTAAGTATTTATGAAATACGAAATAATGTATGTGCTTCCAAATAAATACATATACGAATATATTCATATACATCGTACGTATATATAGTGTGGATATCTTGCCATATCATGCGGCCACACACTGCGGAGACATTCGGACTGGAAGCGTTGAGAGATAAAGCAGGGACTGACAGATGTCAATGCCTGGCGATCATTGACTGCGGCCTTAAAAATAGCTCGGGAAACAGGGAGCAGAAATCAGAGCCTGCTCTTCTCAGTTCATTTCGAAGCATAGGTTTTATTTAAGAGCGAAATGTAATTGCGTATCGTCCAAAGTGCGCGCGTGCTGTTTCAATCTAATATGTATGTGCGCCTCTATATCTAACACTGCACAACAGCGGATATATATACACAAGAAGCCACACGTACTCAAAATATCTTGGCAGCATGATTTCCACTTTTCAGTTTTCATTCGATTTTTGGCAACTTGACAAACATTTTGCACGTTTTTTGTGGCGAACGAAACGCCACACGACGACGTGCTTTGTTGTCTGTTTGTATAAATAAAATGCAAGACTTAGAACTATAGGTATGTATATAGAGATATATGCACATATATTTACATATATGTGGATCTGCCTAAAGGCGTATCAGTGAATCACAGAAAACATGCAAAAAACGCAACTGGTTAGCGAATAATTTTTAGTACAAATAAGTTAAAACATAGATAAATACTATATATATATAGTTTATATGCATATAGACGCTTCGATCCGAAACACCTCACCTGTATATGTTGCTCCAGCTCGGCGGCAATGTCCTGACGGGCCAATGCCAATTGCTCCTGCAATCGTCGCTCGTACTCTTCGATAATGCGTCTGATCACCTGAGACTCATTGTCATTGTCTTTATCGTTCGCGAAATTCAATTCATCCTCATCGATGATGATTAACGAGGCATTACGAACGGCCTGAACACTATCGGCCAAGCCCTCTATATCATCGGTACCATCTTTGGTGAGATGCGATTCGTTATTTGGCTTCGCGGTTTCAGTTTGTGTTTCGATCGTTTGGCGGCAGGTATGCATTAATTTGTTTGTCGGCTGTGCGGGTTAGTTTTATTGCCGATATTGCAGGTATGCGGGTTGCAATTTGTGCGTGTTTTGGTAGTTTATTGGGTTATAAAAATTAAGAGAGAATTGAACAAGAAAGAACATGCAGTTAGCACAAAACAAAGCTATTAGAAATATACAAAAAAAAAAAATATGGTAACGAACGATCTCTAATGTTCGCAAAATATCGCTTGTGGGTGGCGGGTTTTCATTTTCGATATTAACTAGCATTTTATATTATTTCTAAACTATTTAGGACATCTGAACATATTTGGAAATAATATTTGGTTAATATTCTAAAGCTGTCGTAGGAACAATCTTTTCAAAGCATAAAATCAACCCGATAGCTTTACGGACAGGCTTCTATCCTGACTGTCAGAACTTTTTTAAAAATGTATATTTACTATTTTTAGCTTTTTATCAAAATTTTCTACTATTTTGCTTTATTTTTTAATTTTTTTTTTATTTGTCAATATTTCTTATTCGTACAGCTGTTTTAGTTTTTGTAATATAATTCAGTTCTTTTATTTAAACAACGTTTTTTTAGGAACATGCAATTTGAAATGTTAAATGTTTTAAAAAAGACGCCTACTTTGTTTTTTTTTTTTTCTGTGACATATTTCTGATGGATAATTTCTATAATTAATGAGAGAAAAACTAGATTATATCTTTCTTATCCAGTTTATCTTTCTACCGAAGAGTTAAAGCTAATGACCCTATTTTACTTTTTTATGAAGGTTTAAAAATCGCTATTTTTTAGATATTTCTGTTTCAATATAGAAAACGAATTATCAAGCTTAAATCTTATATACCACTAAAGAGCGCTCTATAGTATTGACCTAACGAATAATAGATCTTCATTCCCTATCCCTATTTAATTCAATAAGGGTAATAACATATACTACAGACCTAATTTAAATATTCGACGCGCAGGCATACACAAAATGAAAGAGTTCTAGAGGTCTAGTAGCCAGTAATCTCGTTGATCATACTAACAATCTCCACCATAACCAAAATCAAATCCAATCCCTGGCTTAATGTTTAGAATGTTTAGAAGTAAAGCAAAAAGACTGATCTATACGAATATGGCAATTCGCAGACATGATAAATGCTTTTCAATGAACGAAATGAAAACCTTCACCCTTCAGCGCGCAGTGCAAACTTCTAGCGTTAGTTTCATTTAAGTGTCAGTAGAGGAGGAGCTACTCACCAAGTAATCGTCATCTAGCTGGGGGTGCTCGTAACTCTTTAAACGCTCCTTCAGCTGGCGCACCTTTTCCTCATGAGCGCGTTTCAGTTCTTGTATGTGGGACTGATAGAATGTCTTTAAGTCAGCTATTTCCAACGATATCTACAGGTATGGGGGAAATATGTTAGAGAGAATGGTGGGTACATGATATCAAGTAGCTTACATTGGCGTTACCATCCCGACCAGCACCCTTCTCGCCCAGCGAGTCCAGGCCGCAGGGTGTCATTTGTCTGTGACTGGGACTGAGCAGCAGTTCGGCGCGTTTGCGCTTGCGCGGCGACGTCTCCTTTACTGGTACTATGCTGGCTACTTCCTCGGGCATTTGCTCTGCCTCCGAGCATTCGGATGAGCTGTCGCCACCCAGAATTTGGGACTTGTGCGAGAATACGTCGTCAGAGAATTGTTTCTCCAGATCGGCGCACTTGTGCTCGAAGTATTTGCGCAACTCTTCCATTTGTTTGGCGTGTGCCGCTTGCTGCGTCTGGCGTTGCTGCTGCATTTCAGCCATGGCGCTGTTGTGGGCCGCTTTCTCGGTTTCCCATTGATCCCGAGCGATCTTCAGCTCGTCCTCTGCCTGCTGGCGACATTGTTCCAGCTGCTGAGCCAAATAGTCATCGAATTTGCGCTGCACCATGAGAAACAAACGCTGCTCGTTGGGCAGCAAATAGGTCTGGAATTGTTCAATCTGTTTGCTAAAGGCCGGCGTCCAATTGGGCGCCAGCGGCTCCAAGCCCGGCTCGTCGATGGTTGCGGCGATGGATGGCTGTACTCCCTGATACGACACAGATAACTGACGCTCACGGGAACTGCGCGAACCTCGTTCGTCGTGGTCTTCGAAGAAGTGACGTTCCAGTTCATCGTCACTCTCGCTTATTAGATCCATGGATATTTCCGATAGACGCTGTCCGGCGTTGCTCTCCTGATCGGGTGCCAGAGTGCGTGGCCAGCGCTTCACTGAATCGATGGCCTCGTTGAGTTGTCGCCGCAATGATTGCACCTCGCCATTAAGACGATCCGCATCCGTTTGCAACTGTTCCCGTATGTTCAAGGATTGCTGCAGTGAATCGCTTAGCTTGGCAATCATCTCATCGCGTCGAGAGAGCTCCACATATATGTCCAGAGTCTAAGTGAAAAGAGAGAAGATAGTGTGTAGAATATCAGCTTTATTTAGCGACGTCAGACTGACTTACCGGCGCCCCAAATTCCTCCTGCAATGTGCGATACTCTGTCGAGTTGGTCATCAGCGAGCTGCTATCACGCGCCGATCCGGGTCCAGCACTCGCTTCCCTTCGCGCCGCTTCTAGCTGCGCATTTAGTGAAGCCAAGCCTTGATCCTTACTCTCCAACTCAGTGTGCAGCTCCTGAACCTTGGCCTCCAGCTGCCTAAGCATGTTTAGGCTAATCAGGCTGGAGCTGCTGCCTGCATGCTTGCCGGCTAGCAGAGTTTTGGAATCTTCCATCGAGAGGGACTGCCCCTCTTCCTCCGCCGTTGTGCTTAGCGAAAGCAAACGTTCGCTTTCCTCAGTGATATCCTCGAGCACGTCCTTGCTATATTCAGCTAACGGCACACGTTCCATTTGCTTAATCTCCATCATGCTGTTACCACTAACGGTTCCACTACTGCTGCTCACATGTGGGACCGGCGATTCCGCGGGCGACACTTTGGCACCATTTTCGCTAAGCGTTTGCTGCTGCATAGCCAGTAATCGCAGCTTCATGAGCTGCAGGGAGCACTCCTCATCATCCTCTTCGGAGGCATCCAACTCCAAGATTGTCAGTTCAAGCGGTTCAGACTGTATTGGCAGCGTCTCTAAGGCTATGGCTGATTTGTGCTCGACTACTTGGGGCTGTTGGAGTTGCGGCAGCTTGAGTGTTTGTACTGCATTTACGGTTGGCGGCTCTTCTGCATCCAAATCTGTAACCATCTGTGTTTCCCGCGCGAAATCCTGGGTTACCGTCTGCTGGGAACTGCTGACCACAGCCTCTTCGCCGTCGTAGGTTATTTCAACGGATTCGTTTGTGGCAACAATCTCCTCTATCGAATGATCCTGTTCGCTATTTGCCTCATCGGAGGTGGCTGCCAATTGACTCTGCTCTAATCTCGATTCACTGGCACTGACTTCCAGTTGACTCGGTTCCATTTTCGATTCACCAGCGCTCACTTGCGTAGCACCTTGGGTGTCTGCATAGCTGGTGGCTGTCGTTTGCGGGGCACTGCTCGCTTGGGTCTGTTCATCTTCGGTAGCTGGCGCTTGCCTGGGCTCATCTGCGAGATCGGAAACATCGTCTGTTGTACTTTGGTTGCTCAGAGATTCGTCAACGGCTTGACCTTCTATATCATCTTCATCATTGTCATCATGTCGCGAATGCACCACTCGTCGTTCCAATGGCAAACTAATGTCAAAATCGTCTTCATCATCGTCATCGTTGGCACTGAGCGTTGTCTCTTTGCTAGAGCCTGTGGGCTGTGAATCACTCTCGTCTTCTACAACAAAATGTTGCGCCAGTTGTCCACCGGACAGTTGAGAATCGTCGATTCGAAATTCGTCAGCTTCGTCACTGCTACCGGTTTTGGCACTTTGTGGTTGGATTGGGTGCTGTTGGAGCTCACTCAGACTGCTTTCTCCAGCTGTGATGGACTTGGGGGGCGGAAAAGTTGCTCCACCTGATAACAAATCCTCCTCTACTTCACTTATTTCTATGGCCTCCTCAATTTCCTCTTCTATGCTGCTCGTTGTCTCAGCACTTGTTGCTGTGGAGGTTGCTTTTGGTGTTGTATTCGATGTTGTTGTTGTTGTTGTACGTTGATCTGCCATTTCAATGGTGATGGAGCTTGTGGGCTCATCGATAGTAAACGACGATATCGTTCTCTCGTCCTCTGTAAGACTCAAATTATTTTGTTGCCTAAGTAGCTCGGCGGTGTCTGTGGATGTGACTGCGTAGGGCGTGCTGCTGGAGGTCGTTGGTGGTGTTGTTGCTGTTGTAGTTGTAGTTGAATGGCTGTCCCTTGAGATTATGTATGTGTGTGTTGAATCGTTATCGCTGTCAGCCTCTGTCTTATCAACATTATCGCTGGCTACTACAGAGGTCGTGGCAACATGTTGCTCTTGCCTTGTTTGTTGCTGCCCGACTGTTGACGGTGTCTCGAGCACGAAATTTAACGTCGGAATAAATTCAACCTCCACATGTTGCAATATGTAATTGCGACCAGTTGTTGCCTGTGAATGTTGCTGGCCAACAGCAGTTGTGCCTCTGCCCTGTGTTGCTGACGATGTTGCTAACTCTTCCGATGGTGCCGCTTCGACTGCCTTGTAGCTGACGCCGTTGCTACCGCGATTGCGTAGCAATGATGTTATCTAGAAATAAAATTACATATTTGATTATATTAAATGAACAAATTATAGAGTAACTATCTGCATAGTATCACAGTTTTAAAAATATAATTTCAATTTAAATAATTTAAAGAAACATCAACGTATTTTTTACACAAAATATGTGAATTATTTAAAAAAAAACATACTAAAAAACAACAAAAACTTTAAATAAATAAAAAGTGAAAATAAAAAACTATAAAAACAAAAATAAAATTTAAAATTCAACAGATAAAATACAAAAAAAAATTTTAAAAAAAATGTGTTCTCGCACGCAGCCGGTAGGATTCGAACCTACGCTCCCAGAGGGAATCTGATTTCGAGTCAGACGCCTTAACCACTCGGCCACGACTGCTACAAGCGAAGCGAGGCGATTTTGCCATTTCAACGGCAAGGGTGGCAGAAAGCAATAAAGCGCTCGAAATTGCTGCGTAAAAATAAGTGCGCAATATTTTCACATTTCAATGTACTATATAACTATTAAACAAAGAAATCGACTATTATAGTATATGAAATATTGTAATTGCAAATTCTATGGATAACAAAAAAAAAATTAATTCAATTTATCGAAATTAGTATTAGCTTATATTATATTGTTTACAGACATCAATTGTAATTGTAATCAATTCAGACATGAATTATATTAATGTCCTCACATTTGCAAATAAATTAATAACATTTTGTTGATAAAGTTGGCAAAAGAAGAAAAGCGTACCCTCCTTATTTTTCTTCAACTTAATAACAATTTTAAAATTTAAATGAATTTTAAATTCAAGCTTTGCGTAAATACAATAATAATACATCGTATTGATCTATTTTTTATGTTTTAACTAGGCTAATCTAGTATGATATTTAATTTTACGAGCATTTAACTAACTATATTGAACTGTTGATATGGAAATCCTAACATCAAATACTACTATGAAGTCGTAGAGTTTGTAAATTTTAAATAATGCAATTTTCCAAACCATATCAGACTTAATTAATTAATTAATTAATAGTTAGTAACAACAACAAAACACACAAGCTAGTATCTTTCAGATATATATGCAGGTTCAGATAAATGACAAACTTTGAAATTTCAAAAAGTACTTAGATCAAAAATAATAAATAATTATAGAGCCATTTAAGCATTGTACATAGCACATGCCAGCCACCCGATTACCTAAAACACTCCTTCAAAACCCGTTTTTCCAAGCATTTATATGCTTGGGAAATTTGGGAAAAACAAGAAGAAAAAAACATCAGTATCGTATAATATCTTATAAATATTATAGTAAGTATAAAATAATAACTGTCTCGCCTAACAAATTTATACCGTAGGGTTATTTCAAGAAGAATTCTTCGACCAGAAAGGTTTTATAAACGTATCAAATAGGAACGGTCTCGCCTACTACTTATATAATAAATTGTTTCATTTTTTAAATAAATACCTATACTATTATATTAGTTAATTCATTCGAATTTTTGATGTGAAGATGCAAATATACCTTGCTTTGCTTTTGGGTATTTAAACAAAAGTGCGGATTTGAATAAATAATGAAACCATATTAATAGATACATTTCAATTTCAGCATCCACTGCCATATCTACGTTTGCCGCAAGATGTATAGATGAATGTGATGGCGGCTATCATCCAGAATGTGCATTCAATGGCAAATGTTATTATGTATTTGGCAATGTCTGCAGACTTAAATATTTTAACTGCATTTTAAAAAAAAGTAACAAATCACGTGGGTAACAAATAAATTAATTAATGTATACAGAGCTTATGATTTGCTTCGTTCTAGAATACCAACTTATCCACATGGGACACTGTGACATATATGTAGAAATACCATTATGTCGACATATTCTTCCCAACCGTAATTGAAGCTTAACTGTCTTGCTATTTTATTGGGAAAGCAAGGAAAGCAAGCAACGTGTAGAACGTCAAAGTCCAGCCAGCCCGATTCCTGCTGCCACCCTTCTCCATCCATAAACATTTTTGTACCAATCTCTGCTATATCAGCTATAAGATTTAGTCCACTTGAGACATTTCAATAAAAATTAAATTATAAAAATTTCTGTGACCTCACATAAGGCATCTGGGACTAAAATTTGGTGTCCCTAGGTCTTATAGTCTCCGAGATATAGGTGATTATACGAATGGAAATCGGGAACATCCCCATAGGGGGAAGTGGGGGGGAAAATCAAAAAAATAAAACAAACTCGTATAGAATACACACATAAGGCATCTTTGTGCAAAATTTGGTGTCTCTATCTTTTATAATCTCTGAGCTCCAGATGTTCAGACAGATAGACAGACATAGATCGACTCGTCTAGTCATGCTGATCAAGAATATATATACTTTGTGGAGTCTGCTAAGCCTCCTTTTTCAGCTCCCGCAAACCTAATATACTCTTGAACATTTCATGTACAGAGTATAAATAGCAGCACTCTGGCCGACGAGTATACCTAGAACAGAGCATCGTTGCAATCTCACCATTCCATATAGTAGTTCGATTAGATTTAAATACGAGTTAAAGTGTTTCCGGTCAATCATTTTATTGCAAGAGCAGCGTTATGCTTAGGACATTAGTTCCAGATGGAAATGTTGAATGTACGTATCGAATAGAAACGGTCTCGCCAACTATCGATATTATTTCAAATAAATACGTATCTCGTTATATTTAATTCTTTATTGGTATTTTGGATTTGAAGATGAAACTCTATCTAACACTGCTCTTGGGTATTTGCAGTTTTGTTAAAATGCTACAACATTATTAATCAAAAGATTTAAATTTCAGCTTCTAATGCCATTTCGATGATTGCCGCCAAGTGCAATGAAATTTGCCATCGTATTTATCGTCCAGTTTGTGGATTCAATGGGTCATGTTATAAAACTTTCGGAAATGAGTGCTTATTTGATAGTAAGACCTGTAAGGAAATAGAAGCAGGAAGGCCAGGTGGGTCTAAAATAAATAATTTGTATTTATAGAGTTTAAATGATTTTTTTTAAGGATACAAGCTTGTCTACAGATCAGAGTGTAGATCCCAAAACCTCCCGGTTTGTACAATGCCTATTTTTGGTTGATTGCGTTTCTTAAATGAACGTCCAAAGTAAAATTTGCATTTATTTACTTTGATGCTTAACCGATTTACTTCTTTCTTGGGAAAGCAAGAACATTAAATAAAATTTGAATAATAAATAAAGCATTTTCAACAAAAAAGATTTACTGAGATAGTCAGTGATATTTATAATTATTTCGATTAAAGATTTAGGAACTTGCTATTTTTTATTACAGCATGAAGCATATTCAATATATTTTGAAAGTTGTGAAGCGTGAAGCCTTTATGAATATGGTTCCTTTTTTAAGGATCTGACGGAGTTGTGAAGAGCAAGATAAGAAAACAGTGATCCACCGCTTCTGCGACTGCCCGGCCCCTTTTAGGATCAGACATCGGTTCTTAGGAGATGACATGGGCAGATATATACTTAGCTACCGCGCCTACCTAACCTAACCAGAGGATCAGTAACTATAATGGATAACAAGGTTGCTGTGCTTTTCGGTTGTGTAGAATAGTTATATAAATTGAAACACGAAAGGAATGCTCTTAAATACTCTGTACAAAAACAGACCAAAATTTTAAAAACTAAATTAATTGAATCAAATTAATATACTTAAAAGAAAGTAACACGTACACCGAGCCGTACAGTTTCAAAAGAATACATTTATATTATAGAAATCACTAATAGCGAGGTAGTGAGGTGAAAAACGAAAAACGTGTCGGAGGCATTAATAGACGTCATTGTACAGCTTTGTGTGAGGCTTTCTTATCTTTTAAGTTTAGTTTAAATTGTTATATTAAGTTTTAGATTATAATCGACAGTATTATTGTTGATATTCTGAATAAAAATAAAATAAACAAGAGAGAACGCTACAGTCGAGCAAGCCCGACAGTGTAATACCCTGTACCCAGGTAAACTTCCGTCACTGAGTTATATGCACCCATAGAAGCAGCAAAAAGAGGAAGAAGAAGAGCGAACTTGTTGCTGCAGTTTGGGGGGTTGTACTGGCGAGAATTCGTTTTGCTAATTACTTTTCTTAGAATTGACCGAATTGGATAAAATTTTGAACAACAGTAGACAATTATATATAAATTATGTGTGCAAAGTTTGGTTTAGGTAGCATTTGAAATGTGGACGCTATTGACGAAATTCTGTAGCGGGGGAAGGGGGGGAAAATTAAAAAAAAAAAAATAAACTCGTCCTTACTCGGACCTAGGAGAATCTGGATGCCAACTTTGGTTATTCTAGCTTTTATAGTTTCTGAGATCCTCGCGTTCATCCAGACGGACGGACAGACGGACGGACGGACGGACGGACGGACGGACGGACGGACGGACATGTCTAGATCGATTTCTCTCGTCATGCTGATCAAGAATATATATACTTTATGGGGTCGGAGATGCTTCCTTCTGTATGTTACATACTTTGCACAAACCTAATATACCCTGTTTACCCTACGGGTACAGGGTATAAAAATAAACTCGTCACTTCAAGGGATATGAGAGAATGTGGATACCACGTTTAGTTATTCTAACTACTTTCTGAGATCCTAGGTGTTATACAGACAGATAAACGGACAAGCAGACGGACATGGCTATAACTCCTCCCGTATCCGAAGCGTAGCGTTATTCTAAGAACATTAAAATACGTATCGAATAGGTAAGGCCTCGGGGTCATTAATAAATAAATGAATATTTATATCGTTTAAATGATTTGATTTTAATAGCCTGTACCCAAAGGTATAATAGTTACCCCTAGATTTAGACTCCTAGACCTTCCGTTTTGTCGAGTTTCATAGAGTTCCTTAAGAGAACGTCTAAAGTAATATTTGGTGCTTAACCGATTTCTTTCTTGTATTTTACTCTGTGCAATAAAAGTACAAGAGTATGTTAGGCTTGCTCGAGGTGAAAAATGTAACAGGCAGAAGGAGGCGTGGCAGCCCATAAAAAGTATATATATTCTAGTATATATACTTCGTATACACCAAACTTTGCACACTTTCGGGTACAGGGTAGTTCATTGTACAGATTGTTTTAATTTACATCCTGTGGCATACATTTATGAAGAATGTGTAATTCCCTGCCTAGAAATACTTGCAACATATCTATTTCAGCTTCTACCGCTCTCTACATAACTTTTTACTATATTGATACACGGAATACAGATGTGTATATTAAGGAGACATAGACCCAGATTGTAGAATTATTAAGCCCATCTTCTTGATTGTTGTCTTTAATGTCTTCTCCGTCGATTATGTCATCAGAAAGTTGAGTGTCGACGTCTATATAATATTATAATAATAATATAATATTTTGTAAATAAATCGGGGTATATTTCAACAAGTAGGTTAAGAATATCAATCCTAGAGAAGAGAACCAGAGAACAACAGAACATATGTCTGTTCCTTTAAAAATAATGACGTTATGTTGGATATGTTAGATATTCCTACATTCCATCATTACATAAAACAGTCTAAAACGGAATGTTCTTTGGAAATAAGTAGATAAATAAATATTTCAGATATAAGAAAATATTGGCGAATTACAAAATCTGCAATGGAAATTAATTAGTTATTGGAACTGTCCCGTAATATTTGTATTAAACAACAATAGTATTTAGAAAAGGTACTCGTATCTAAATGGATCGTTAGAAGTTATGTAGCATAAAATTACAATTTCAAAGTTTTTCATTTGAAACTTGTGTAAAACGCGTATTATAGTCGAATAGCTTGCTTGGATAAAATGACGAAATTGCTATTTGGATTGCTCTTGGGTTTGTATGAATATTATTTAAATGTGTTCTATTAGTCAATCTGTTTCAAATACTTCCAGTTTTTTCAGCTATCTTCACTGTTGACGCTCAATGCAAAAGAGTTTGTCCTTTATTTCTCAATCCATCGTGTGGTTTCAACAAATCATGTTATTCTACCTTTGATAATGCTTGCAAATTACAATTTATGAACTGTAATCTTAGGGTATCCGACAAGCCAAGTGGGTAGTAAATAATTTAATCAACCCAAGTTTATAACATTTGTATTTTCACAGGATTTAAGCTGATTTCAAGCGGGCCATGTAAACCTTCTCAACAGCCAGCCTGTACCTGAATTCCAATAATATTTTGCATGTGTAACTGAGCTCTGATGCTCAACAGCTATTAATAATAAATAATAAACATACATATGTAAAAAAGTTATTGTATAGATGTTAAAAGTACACGAAAGATTTACACTTAGACAGAGAAGTTTTGGCAGGGTCTAACAATATTTGGAACGTTGATTGATACACATTAGTTTTTTTTAACTATGCAAAAAACTAGACGCACTATCATCTCTAAAGTTCTGTAATTATAAGATTAAGTGTTATATTGCAATTCACCTATATTTCAATATAAGGGACATAAGCAATTGTGCCATGCGAGCAGCATCATATTTCTTGACATTGTGTACACTTTTTGTGGCTCAATGTCGCATTGGTTGAGTTATCGGTTATCGGAAAAATTGCAATATTTTAAATGAATTAACTCAAAGCTATTTACAATTAATAGAAGTCAGCTTTCTAGCTTTTGAATCCCCTCTTAAATTCACAATAAATCCACCCCTAAGAAAAGAATCAAAAACAGCAAATCCATAACCTTCCTTTTCAATCCTTGGAGTTAATATTTATTCCATAACCTCTTCAGTGCCCATTTACACTGTTCAAGAAAACTGTAGTCAACATTTTAGCTTTCTAGCTCTTAAGTGTCCTCTTAAATCCCTAATAAATCTGGACCAAAACCAATTTTCAAATGCCAATGAATGCAGTTTGGTTTTCTTTTCTAAGAAAATGTTATAAAGAATAATAAGAACATAATTTAATTTTAATCTTCTTTAACATATAAAGAACTTAAAATTACTTAAAAGAAATTAAAATTACATATAAACTTGGGTCTGTGTGGCCTTCAGCTAATAAATAACATAGATACGAGTATTTAGGGATATAGAGCTGATATTACTGATATTATTGTTGTGCTTTTTAAACGCTCCCAATTCGTCCTGCCCTTTTTATGGCTTCGGTTAGGTCCTTGATTATATTTGACTACCCACTCTCGTCCTCCATTCTTCAGCAACAACAACAATAGGTGCAGGTAGCGCTTGGGCAGAGGTTACAGAGATGGATATAACTTCCTTGAAAATCGGCATACCATAATTAAACTTAAATTACGGGAGTTATCGAAAACAACTAATAGTGTGGGAAAGGAGGAACTCCCATCCTCCTTAAATGCAAATTTTGTGCGTATTCATATGCTTCCGAGATATAGGCGATTATACAAGCTGCATTTCCGAAAATTCCCCATAGGGAAAAGTGGGGGAAAATAAAAAATAAATAAAACAAACTTGTACAGCGTACACACATAAGGCATCTTTGTGCAAAATTTGGTGTATCTAGCTCTTACAGTCTCTGTGATCTAGGGGATCATACGGACGGACAGACAGAACAAACTAAACAGTGACTGTCAAACAAATGAAAATGAAATAAGACAGAAAACGATGGTTGATCGCGTTGACGAATCGCCACGAAACTTCTCAGGTGCACTTATTTGCCACAAAATTTGATCAAAATCGGTTGAGCCGGTTCGGAGTCTATAGGGAATATACATAGATACATACATACACACATACTTTCATTTTTATATATATAGACATTTGAAATAATAAACATGCTATTTTCACAATCAAAATCATAAACACCGAGAATATGTGGTCAAATATTCTTCTTGCTCGTGATTTCTTAGCTCACCAGCACTGACCAGGCCCATTAGCTTTGAATGCGTGCCTGTGCATTTTTTGGTTATTTTTGTTGCCCTTTTTGTTTTTGTTTGTTTTGTTTGTCGCCATAAATTCGTGTTCAAATTTTTTAATGATGTCACCTCGTTGTGTGCACGTCAGACGTCGCATTTTTTGACGCAATCGTGTGTCGGCATTTTGGGGTTAAGTTCTTGTCACAGAAAAAGGACGGGGATTTACGAGCGGTTGCGACTGTTTTAGGTTATAAGCAAAAGCAGTGCAATCATTATTGTGCAACGACCAATATCTATACATATATGCTAAAACCACATGGCATTTGCAGCCAACCAATTGACCCGCATCTGCCCCGGCATCTCAAGTGATTATTACAACAGCACAACAAAAGCTAGACCAGATCGTGCCACAGCGATCATTGACAGAGTCGGCGGCACACGTAGGCGCTGTTGTTGTTGTTGTTGTTGCTGCTGTTTCTATTACGTCTGACTCAGAATCATTTGATGGATTGCAGCTGTGGCACACGGCAGGGCCTCGAGTTGCCTCCACGAGCAGTATTGGTACTCGTATGTCTAAATTAGAAACATGGGAGATATTTTTAAATTCTAAAATAGAATTGAAGTTGCATGTGGTTGTGAATTCATGAGTTTCGGACACATTTTGCTTTAATTAAAATTTCAATATAGCCGAGTGATTTATGCGTTAGGTGATTGAAATATTTATGTGGAATTTGTCATTAAGTATCAAATAATCTTCAATTTTATTGCAGCATCTCATCAATACGAGCTACTTAGGACTTAATTAGAATATACGAGTATATGGAATGTATATGAAAATGTTCTGAACAAACAGAGCATTGCGAATCGGCTGCAGTTGGCTGAGCACATACGTATACATCTAAATATATATATATATATATATATATTTATATGCAGATGTACTTAGGTGTAAGCGAAAGACAAACATAATTTTATATTACTCATACGCCATGTAGGTCGTCATAAAGCGCATGAAAAAATAATTTGAGATGATGTTAAAACAATTAAATACTAATTGTGTAATGCATAAACACGAACTGTGAAAAGAAGCACAATTTTTAATTAATCCCCAATTAATTCGACCTTCAAATCAATTACCATAATTTGCAAATTTTCTCAATTTTCTCTTCCCTCAGTAGCTTTTATAATTTTAAGTTAATCTTAAATAAAATGTCCCTTGTACGAATTCCAAAAAAATACAACAAAATTGTAAAACAATTTGTACAAACTTGAAGCAATGCTTTTGAACCATTTCTTAAGGAAGCATCCAAGTGAATGGAAGTTTGCAAAGCCATTCTATTTCATTTAAAATTTACAAATCATAAGAGAAACAAAAAGAAGAGCTTTTAGCAATTTTTCTAAAACAGCCTACAATGTACAAACATTTTTCACCATAATTTTATGAAATTTTAAAATTTTAATTATTTGTAAATGTATTTTAAATTTTTATCTTTTCAACGACTTTTTAAATGTTGGATCATCTTTGGTGTCTATTTATTTGACTGGCTGTCCGTTTAAAGGTTTCAATATCATGATGATATCAACACATTGCACAGACGATTCTCTGAAGTCTAAGTTTAAATTAAATTCTAAATTAATAACCATTAGGTTAGGTTACTGTACTGCCCTGAATATTGGCAGATGCATTCAACGTATTGTGCTTTCTTTTTATGGCCAAATACATACGGAACCCAATAAGCCAAATATGAATAGTGGTTGATGAATAAAATTCAATTCGGTTTAAATTCGATAAAATGTTGAAATCACGAGATAACCAACTAACAGGCATTTGAAAAGTTTTGCACAAAATGTTACAGAGTTTTAATATTTTAATTTAATATTTTCTATTTTTTTAACCTTCGATATGTGGAACAGTTTGGAAAAGTTATGTTTACTTTGGGATGCTTATGGTAGGGACGGGCTTTTAAACAATAATTCATATGAGATGATATTTTAAAATATATTCTTTTTATCAAAAATGAATCAAACCCCTGCTGGAATTGAAAGCAACTACAAGTATTACAACATAAATTTTCACTCTCGATAATGTAAAACTTAAATTCTTTTCACAATTTTTAAATCAAAAACTCTAATTTAAAATATATTCTTTTCGTCAAAAATACATCAAACCTCTGCTAGAATTACAACATAAATTTTCACTCTCTAAAATGTAAAACTTAAATTCTTTTCACAATTTATAAATCAAAAACTCTCATTTCTAATTTAAAATTCTTTTTATCAAATATGAATCAAAACCCTAAATTGTCACTCCCGAAAATGTAAAACTAAAATTCTTTTTACAATTTATAAATCAAAATCTCTAATTTCCATTTCTACCGCCCAAGTACTTGGTGTCCTTAGCTTCCTGTTGAACGTCCTTGAACTTGTCAGGCAGCGTTTTTGGCAGGAGGTCTCTCCCCACGCACCTAGGGATAACATAAGGATAACAACTTAACTACATCGCCATGGTTACGAGTGCCGTTACATTTTTCGCATTGTTGGTAAGCGTTTGGGGCGCGAAATCGAAAGTTCTCCTATTATTATTTTTTTCTTGACTAGAAATGTTGGGATTGAACAGAAAATTTTGCTAGACTTGTTGTTGTTGTTGTTGTTTTTGTTGTGCCAGGTCGCTTGGTAAAGTTGTTGTTATTTGGGTGTGTATGTGTGTGCGTGTGTGTGTTTGTGACACACTTTTGAGGCGCAGACACTGTCGCTGATGTTGTTTTTGTTGTTGCTGGTTGCATTCGAGCAACTAATAACAAAAACGCGTCGCCGCGCCCAATCGACGACACAAACAAACAAACACACACACACGCACCCAAAACTTGTCATTGTTCTGAATGTTGTTGTTGCTGCTGTTATTGTCTTATTACTTGGTTTGCCAAAATAGTAGTCTGTGCTTTGACACGCATACTGGCCAAAAAAAGAAAATAGAAATGATTAAAATAACGGCCATATATTTGTGAATATCAATGAACATTATTTGTCATAAACTTACGCCCTTAGTCTTAAGATTTATGAATATTCATTCTATCAGCACGTTTTAATTAAATTTTATTGATTTGCCATAAGCTGACAAAAACAAAAGAAAAACAACCAACAAAAAAAAACATGAATGGTCTTTCCCACATTTCCATAAATACAATATATATATATATATATTTCTTTTCATTTTCCAAACATTTTTAAGTAAACATTAAAAACTATAAAACGGCTGCTGTTCCGAATAAAACAATTCAAAAAAGAGAGCACAAATTTTTATACATTTCTTGATCTTTATACAAATGTACATACGTTTCCATATATGTTGCTGAATGGGAAAACAATACACTGATTATTAATCTCGAATTCTCTGTGGAATTTGCCAAGTCGGCTACATTTCACTAATTTTGAAATAACCAGTAAGATGTCAGAATATAAAGGAAACCAATATATAAAGAGAATTGTTTATACTGCGTCTGATTTCTGAGTTTATCGTTCCTATGAAAGGTATATGAAATAGAAACATCAGCATATGATTAGAAATGTGTTCACTTAAAAGTTATTTTTCCACCGATCGCCCCTATGATACTTACGCCTATATATGGTTTGAAATAAACGTGTTCTGAGTAATGTTCTGAACATGTCATATTTGTATATATACATATAACATTTGATGTTTGGACTCTACACCTAGGGCATAAAAAGCAATCAAAAACAATTTTAAATTAACAATTAGCTTCCTTACTTATAGAAACACTTGTTTAAAGCATTTAGAATAATAATAGAATAATAAAAAAAAAACACCTTTGAAATATATTTCTCGACGCCTTGAAAATTGCAAGTTCTAAGAAATAAATAGAACCAAAAGTTTTTTAAAATTTGATATTTAGGCAAAAATTAACTGTTTAAAAAACTAAACTAAACTTTTGAAAACTTTCTTTCGCCAAAAATATTTAATTCATGAACAGGAACACCTTAATTTCCAAGCTAAATAAAGTTTCAGGCTCCAATGAGCTGCAATATCTTAAAGATTTACAAATAAAAAAATAAAAAAAATTGAGCAAGAGCGGTATAAGCCTAAGAACATCAAAGAACTTTTTCTTTGATTGAGGAACGTTCACAAAAATTATCCAGAATGTTTTGCCTTTTTATTGAATACGCATTTTATGCTGTACGATAACTCACATGTATTTTACTCATTATGTTGTTTGTATGATATTTGGCAAAATTATCTTCCCATTTGCATTTGGCGCTCTATGAAATGCAATTTGTTTTCACATAAGCAATGCCATTTTAATATCGAAGTTCACATACGTAATATTTATTTACATATATGCAAATAATTTTCCGATTCATTTTTACAACTTCACAAACACACAGAGACACCAACGGACACAACACTAAGGAAAGCGCACGACTTTTTATCTTTTTTGTTCGATTGGGCGGGCTGTCGACCGAACGCGCTCAGTGCAAGTTCTGTTATAAATAAAAATTCCGCGCTGCACGGCCGACACAGCCGGCAGAGGCGTTCGATTCAAATCAGTCAGTCAGACAGCCAGGCAAGCAAGCAGGCAGGCAGGCAGTCCGTCAGTCAGTCCATCCAAAGAAATCAAAGAAATGAGAGAGCGAGAGAGCGTGTATCATGTAAATGAAAATTTGCAACGGTTCCAAGCGGTTCCGTGCACCAAATGCGCGCTCCCATTTTTTATTTATAAACAAACCAAGTGTGGAACCCAAGTGCGCCACATGGGTGGGCAACATGTTGTGGACTGCAATGTTGCCGACGTCGATGTCGATGTTGATAAGCCCTAGAGAACTCGAAATGCTTTCAACAATTTATGTGCTTGACTGCATGAAGGGGAAGTTAAAGTTCAAAGGCGCACTCAATTTTCATTTTGTGCCCTGCAAACATTTTCTATTGTGTTTTCTTTTTGGTATAGTATACATTACATTAAATACGTCAAATCTGCTCCGAATACTACTGATGGATGATAGCTAAAATGCGAATGTCGATCTATTTCGTTATCAAAAAATGTTTGAATCAATCTTTAGAGCTATTGCCAAATATTTTTTGTCTACTTTTTACTTGATCTATAATTGACTTGTTTGAAGTCTTCTTTATTACATCAAAGGGTATGGGAAAAGTTGTATTCATCTGTTTTTATTGAAAAGTTATGTTACTGAATACAAATACTAGTTAATCAAAATAGCAGAAGCCAACGTGTTAATATAAGTAACCAAATTTAGCCACAATTTCAAATTACAATTAGAAAACAGTCTTAGAACTGAGCTGAAGAATGATTATTTGAAGTCTTTAAAGATGTTCGACTCATAAAATAATTTCATGCAGCCATGACATATTTGCAAATACAAGTGTCTTTTTTTTAGTTCTTCCTCAAGTAGCTCCAGTTATAAAGTAGCTCCAAAATATAAACATTTGAAGATTGAAACTAACTTATTTTATATAATAATATCTTTAGACAAGCAACATTTAAAGCTAGTCTCAAAAGTATTAATTGTAATAAAATATAATTTCTGATCAATTTGACCAGGAATATTTGGTAAACCCCAATTAGAAAATAGAGAAAATCCGAAAAGTTTGTCTGGCAATCTTAACTTCGGAGAAAAAAAAAATTCAACCAGTTTCCACAAATTTCCAAATTTTGTGTTTCTAATGTTGCAGAAATGTTTTGAGAATTTTTAGGGCTACTTTATCGAGAACACAAGTCACCCATCCACCTCTGTTTATGACTATAACAACTTAACTTAAAACTTATATATTGACAGGAGTCGATTGAGGCTATAAAAGGTCATTTGCTGAATGAAATAATGCCAACCCGGTCGACGCTCATGACAGTTGTTTATAAAATTCGCTGGCAACAATAAAGATTTTTAATAAAAATAGTGTTTTTTTAACCAGGCCGGAGCAAGTTTGATCTGATGGTATGTCGACTGGCATTGAAGTTGTTTGCCTATCTGTCTGTTGCTTTAGCTTTTCTAGCATAAACAAAAAACCTCATTTAGTTTATAGTATGTACATACCCAATCATATAATGTATAGAGATTCATGGCGCCTATAGCTTTCTCCTATGATATATGCCATCAATAGAAACGATATGTGTTTTATTTTGAAACGCACTTGAAGTCAGCATCGCATTTGAAAAGTACTCGAAGTCACTTGAACTTTCCAGCAGAACTTGTTAAGAAACTTGTCGAGTTGCGTTTTTAAAGGATTTGTTGGAAGGGAGCTTTATTTCCTTCCACTATTTGCATTCGCTGGCAGAAACTTGGCCGCATTTGTTTCATGTTCTGAAAACCTTCACCATTGACCAGCTAATACATATAGTATGTAGATATTTAGAACGAAGAGTCGTCCGACCCGATTTGAAGGCAACACTTGCTGCTGTCAATTTTATTTATTATTTTGATTTCGTTTTGTTTTTTGTAAGAAACGCCCGAGTCAGCTTGTTTTGAATGCGATTTTCTTTGCTATACACACACACACGCATACACATACAGAAAGTATACACTAACAAATTTTGCAGGTTATGTAGACGCGGCAAGTTTACGTAAAGTTGAAAAAAAAAATACAATAAATTTCCTTCTTGGGGGATAACTTTCGAATGCACTTTTCTAAACTATGTATAAACTAACTAGAGACACACACGAGGGAACAACAATTGCAAGTCCTGCAGTTAGGCAGCCATTTTGTTTCTATCCTCGCGCCGCTTTAACAAAATAAATAGTTCAGTTAAATTGTGTGCACAAAAGTGCACTGCAACCACAAATTTTAAACAAAAGCAGTTGCACGTAACGGCGCGCTTAATGCAACTGAATAGATCGGCCGGCGAGCAACGGCACGACAGAGAGCGCCTATAGTCTTTATTTTTGGCTTCCGAAGAGAGTAGAAAAGACAAAGAGAGGGCGAGAGAGAGAGAGGGAAAAGAACCGTAAAACCATGCACTCTTTGGAGCAGCAACAACAAACAAACAAAATATACAAAAGGCGACATGTTTTAAAAATACACAATCGTAAACAAAACTGTGGGTTAGTATTTAGTTTTGGAGGGGGAGTCGCCCCCAAAAGAAAACACACATAGGCCGAGCAAAGCGAAAGAAATTTCCGGTAATTTTCACATCGTGCTCACATAAATAAGTCGTTGTGCTCCGGTATGATTCTCGATCTCATCTACAACCTTTTCTGAAAAGTCTGGGAAAAATTGTTGTGTCAAGACCTACAAATGTTTGTTATGCAGTTCGGGAACATATATTTTAGATACACTTTATTTCTAAATCATCATCATAATATGACGTTGCCCAACAGCATGAAAGCAAATGACAAATATTTTTACAAGTGGCATAAACTTGCCTGCAGTCAGCAATAATTATGCCTTACAAGATATATGTATTCCCATAGAAATTTCTTTGATGCATACGCGAATTAGCTTCCTATACATATGTATATTAAATAACTAAACTATTCATAAACAACAGAGAATGTTGCAACCGAGCATGTCCGATAGATAAATACCCTCTACTTAAAAGCACATGCTAATACTGAAGTAAAATTGTTTCTCTAATAACTTTTGTTAGGATTAACTAATTTGCATGAAACGGATAAAAAAAAAGGAAGAGAATTGCATCGAAAGAATTAGGAATTACTTTTGAATGAAGTTTACAAAGTTTCAAATACGTAGCCTCGGAATTGTATTATCAAATAAAATAGTTTCGATTTGTCAAGGAACATGTCTAGCTTCTATAGCTATAATTATACAAAGTTTATTATTCCCTGTACCCAAAGGATAAAAGGTTATACAAGTTTTAGTGGAATGACTGTATCGGGGAAAAGGGTAGGTACAGGGTCTTCAAAAGCTAACCTGACATAACCTTAAAGAACTTTTTTTGGTAATTTTTTTTTTTTTAATTTTTTCCTACAAGTATGTATTTATTTGGAATTGGGTTCTGAATTGAATTAGTTATTAAATCAGGCAGCTACGCTGCTATTATGAAGCGATGTCTTTGAATGTAGAACTTTAATCACCAAAGTCAAGATCTAATGAAAACGTTGATATATACGAAACGTTCGACTTCCTAGTTTAATTGAAAACTCCAAGTAGCGGACTTCTTAGAAAATGTATTTTTAAAAATCTGCGCCAGAAATATTTTTTTACTAAAGCAACCTTTGGGTATACTTCAAATAAGCAGCAGTTTTTTAATTTTAGTAAAAAATTAGCTGTAAAATATTTATTTATTAGTGGCCATTTAATTTCTAACAAATCGGTATAAAATGTAATAATATTCGTGTAAATATCAATTTATACACAATTAACAATTGCTATAAGTTTTAGTTTCGTTTATGGTTTTTAATAAATTGGGATTCGTCCAAAAATATGTCTAAAAATATATATGTATAATTTTTTATTTACATGCATTGTAAAATTCTTTCGAAACATTTGTATTGTCATCTCGATGTGTAAATTTGGCAATTCAGATCTAATATCGTCTTTAGCTTACAACCGATTCGTTTCAAAATGCAGTCGGATCAATAATTTGTGCGTTTTTCGTTTTGTAATTTTCTACAAAAGTATTAATCACAAATAATAATTCCCACGACAAACAATACCATTTTTTTAAAAGGTAAATTGAATATCGCTGGTCATTCGAGAATTTTGTTTCGTTTTCAAACATAAAGTCAATTGGTTAGCGATTTAAATCGATGTGTAGTAAGGACATTTCATATACTATATGCTCGTTGATAGAAATGTGTTAGTCAGCACGACTTGAGCCCCCGCCCTCCTTCTGCTTGAACTTGGTGGAGTATTTGTAGAAATCGGACATTTCGAAGGGCTTGGTAATCTCTTTGTAGGGCTGAAATGTGGCCTGTTGGACAACGGTCATATTTTTGGGGGACTCGATGCGTATATCGGGCGATAGGCTCGCACTGGCAACAACCAAGGGTGGCGACACCAGAGCGGTTTGTAAGGCACTGTTACTATTGTTGTTATTGCTGTTGTTGTTGTGGTGCTGGGCTGGGGGTGGTCTGGGCGGCGGTGTTGGCTGCTGTGTTTGATTTGGTTTGGGTGGCAGAACTCGAAAAAGCGGTATATCTAGTGGTTCCAGGGCATACGAAGCCGAAATGCCCACCGTTTGCTCCATGGCATTCAAATAGGATGTGGACTGACTGAGCTTTGCGTAACGCTCGTCCGAGTGCTGTAGAGTTTTGGAGCTGCTCACGGCCGCATAGCCTGTACTGGGGGGATATTGGTGTGTGCTGCGTTGCGCCGACATGGAATAATGGCGGCCTGAGACGGACATCGATTGCGAGGATAATTTAGCGCGCGGCTTACTGCTGCCGGGGGCGCCCCCCACATTGCTGTTGGTGGTCGCCTCCATTTGGCGTATGACGACGGGTCCATCAAGTGAGGACTCTAGCCATTGCTTCGGCTTGGGTTTCTTTTCTATGGTGTTGGCCATGCTGCTGAGGCTTGTCGAGGGCGCCGTATTGAGCGAGGAGAGCGAGATCTCGTCCAATGGCTTGGCCTTGCTGGGATAACGAGGCAGTGGCGGTGCCAGCATGTCGCTGGAATGCGACTTCGTATCACCCAGACCCGACAGATTTGGCTGTGGGGGCGTTAGCGGTGGTATATGCGATTGGGAACGCCAACGAAATTGTTGTTGGTCCGCATCCATGGACATGTAGCTGGGTGCCAACGAGATCGCATCCAATTGACGCTGATGCTGTTGATGCTGCAACGAGGGCTGCAGCTCATAGCTGATGGCGCTGGGGGAGCCCAGTGGGGAGACATACTTCTTGATATTCTGACTCGACTTGATGAAGCCGCCCTCGCTGTAGCTCTGATGTGTGGGCGACAGATAATACTTGTCGCACTGCACAATAATCGGCTGTTGTTGCGGCGCCACGTGCTGCTGTCGCAATGTTGCCACATTCGCCGAATTGGCCGATATTAGAGAGATTATATCCGGATGCTTACGATTCGATTGCACGGGCGACGATTGCTGCTGCTGGTGTTGCTGTTGTTGTGGCTGTGGCGCAAAACCGCTGGGCCCTAGCTGAGGCATATACAGCTCCGCTCCTTGATGAGGCATTGCCGACAACTGCTGCTGTTGCCGCTGCAGCATGTACTGCATTTGGGCGGGTCGTTTCTTCAGCGCGCTCTTCACGTGCGGCTGCTGCTGGGACTGCTGTTGGGCCACGCCTATGACCAGCATATCGCCCGCTGCTGGCTGATAGTTGTCGTATTCGGAGCTGCGATTCGAATGGGTTTCCGAGTAACGATTGTTGTTGTTGTTGTTGTTATTGCTATTGGATGTGGTGCTGCCGGTAATGCTCAGCGGCTGACTGTCACGACTTGTGGTGCTCTGTTTGCGTCGCAATATGCCGCCACTTTCCTTGGCCAGCGCCTGCAACTGCTGCTCGTGCTTGTACTGCTGGGCCAACTGGGCGAAGAACTCATTGATGGTCATGTGCTCGTAGTTGCCTTGCATTATGGAGGTCTCCTGTTTTTGGATTTGCTGCAACAACCAACTCTTTTCACTCAAACGCTGCTCCAGCGCCAGCTTGCGTGCCTCCAAGGAATCCCGTTTCGCCTTCAATTCATCCTCATTGCTGCTGCTGTTGTTGTTGTTGTTGTTGTTATGGTTGTTGTTTATGGTTGCAATACTGTTGCTGCTTGAATGGCTGGGATTGTTATTCAGTCGGTTGCTTGATTGTTGCTGCTGCTGCGCCTGCTGTTGATGTTGCTGTTCCTCATCTTTAAGACTGGCCATGTTTCTGCTTCTGGGCGCTTTCAATTGCATGGCAAGCTCCGGGGTTGGATTGGTGGGTGTTGGTAGGAGTGGGCGTAGGAGTGCGCTCTTTACATCTGTCTCTCGCACTCTGTCTCAGTGTCTCTAGCACTCTGGCTTTTTAATGTTTGTGTGTTTCGATCCTAAAAAGACATAAGGCAGTCTTTGATCAGTCTCGCCGCCTTTTCTCATTCATTCATTCATTCACTTATGCAATTGTTTTGTGTTTTGTTTTGGTTTTAGTTGAGAGTTAGATGGTTTATTTTGTAATTTGGTTTTTAATGAGACGTGCACTATTTGTATTAGACTTTGCTGTTGTTGTTTCTTTCAATAAATTTGTATATGTGTATGTACAGTTACTTTTTTTGTTCTTTACTGTTTTATCACGCACCACAACCACCAAAAGAATTAATGCGACGTTGCACGAATGAGAGTGGCCAATAGCAATGCGACCAAGAAGTAATGCCCAGCTTAGATTAGGGCTAAAAAGGCCCGGCAACCAACACCACCCCACAGAGAGATTCCACAGCATGGCCTGCTAAGATATTTTCATTTTTTTTTTTTTGATAGTACAAGAGATATACCAAATAGAAACAGACACAGAATGTACGATCGAAACAAGAACCACTCTACAAACGCTCTAAATTAATGGTCAGACATGCAAATAATTTGCACACAAGCTTGTAAACTAATTCCCAAATATGTTTGTTGTAGAGAACTTCATTCAATTGTTAATTTCTTATTGAATTTAATTGAAAAAACTTTGTTTTCATGACATATTTGTGAAAATCGAAAAGTTTGTGTACAAATTATTTGCCCATCGGACCATAGCTTAAGCTTACAACCAAAAAACAAACAAATGTGAGAAAAAAAATGCATAATTTAAAATTATTGATCAGTTTTTGATGCCCACAACAAGAAATACAAATACAATAGCGGAAACTCACCAACAATTCTCAATGATGATGAGACAACACAGCCGCTGATTCTAGGGCTGCCGCTGCTGCTTCTGCTCTCTGCCACTTTGGCTGGTATTTCCGTAATGTTTACCAAACAATTGCCAAATGACGCACTGCTCGTGCTTGAAAAGCAATAAGAAATGCTTAGCAAAGCGGCCAAAACACACCTTGTGTCTTGTTTTTAACTGCCGCTGCTTCTGCTGCTGTCGCTGCCTCTGCCGCTGCGGCGCTGCTCTGAAATGCGGTCGTCACTGTACACTCGAGAGGCTCTCAAACACAAAAAAAAAGCGTCACTGGCCGCAGCGTCGTTGTTGTTACTATGTTGTTAATTAAACAGCCGAACGATGCTTTATCTATGCACACACACGTTATACGACACTTAAGTTATGTACAGCACTTGTTTAAATAAATAAAAAACTGAGCAAATGAAATGTGAAACAATTTAAGAGTTAAATGCACGATGCGCCTACATAATGCAAGCGACAAACAACACACACGCAAAGCCAGTGTCAGTGTTGATCAACGACAGAGATTAGAGAGGTTGCCAGTCAACCTACTTGAACAGCTGTTCCAATTCACAATGCTGAAATCGGCCGGTTAGAGCACCATTGTGAATCATCCATCAGAATTGCAGGCCAAGTAAAGGTATTGCAGCGGACAGTACGATATAATTAAACGTGAAAATTACATAAATTTGCGTAATAGTTGTATTAAAAGCCACCGTATTTATGTCATTGCAGTTGATTAAAGTATTCACAAACCTACGAAGCGCCAGTGGCATACTATTTAAACGACACAAATCTTACAATTGGAGCGAACACGTTGCCAACAAAGCGTTTTGCACAAATACACAAACAGCAGTCTCACAGACTTGGGGCAGCAAGAAGTCGAAACGCAGTGTCAAATTGAGAGCCGCAGCCGACTATATAATGACGAATCCAGAAATCGAGGAGCAGTTGGCCCCGTTGCGCATTCGTGTGCAGGAGCAGGGCAATCTGGTGCGTGAGCTGAAGGCGCAGGGAGCAGCCGAGTTGGATGTAAAGAAGGCTGTGGCCGAGTTAAAGTTGCGCAAAAAAGTGCTGGAGGAGAAGGAGTTGGCGCTCACCCCTAGTGTAGTGAGCTTCGATCGGGCCAAGATGGAAGATTTGCTAAAGCGTCGCTTCTTCTATGACCAAAGTTTTGCCATTTATGGTGGTATAACCGGACAGTATGATTTCGGACCCATGGGCTGTGCCCTGAAATCCAATATTCTAGCCCTATGGCGTCAGTACTTCAGTCTGGAGGAGCAAATGCTCGAGGTGGATTGCTCCATGCTGACGCCAGAGCCTGTGCTGAAAGCATCAGGCCATGTAGAACGTTTTGCAGATCTTATGGTGAAGGATGTGAAGACTGGTGAATGCTTTCGGCTGGACCATCTGATCAAGCAGGCGCTGGAGAAGCTGTGCAAAGCCAAGGATGCGACGCCAGCGCTGCAGGCAGAGTGCGAGGACATCATCATAAAACTTGATGGTCTGAACAAGCAGGAGTTGGCCGACGTGCTAGCCAAATACAACATCAAGTCGCCATTGACTGGCAATGAGCTTACAGAGCCCATTGAGTTCAATTTAATGTTTGCCACCCAAATCGGGCCCACTGGCCTGGTGAAGGGCTATCTGCGTCCCGAGACGGCGCAGGGCATTTTTGTGAACTTTAAGCGTTTATTGGAATTCAATCAGGGCAAGTTGCCCTTTGCCGTGGCCCAAATTGGTAACTCATTCCGCAACGAAATCTCTCCTCGTTCTGGCCTGATACGCGTACGTGAATTTACCATGGCGGAGATCGAACATTTTTGCGATCCCACGCAAAAGGATCATCCGAAATTCAGCAAGGTGGCGAACGAAAAGCTAACCCTCTATTCAGCGTGCAATCAAATGGACGGCAAATCAGCCCAACAATCGACAATTGGTGAAGCTGTGGCTGCCAAGCTAGTTGCGAATGAAACTCTTGGCTATTACATGGCGCGTATTCAGCAATTTCTGCTCGCCATCGGCATTAAGCCGGAGTGTCTGCGCTTTCGGCAGCACATGAGCAACGAGATGGCGCATTATGCCTGCGATTGCTGGGATGCTGAAATTCTCACCTCGTATGGTTGGGTGGAATGTGTCGGCTGTGCGGATCGTTCCGCCTACGATCTGAGCCAGCACACGGCAGCCACTGGCGTGCGTTTGGTAGCCGAGAAACGTTTGCCTGCACCCAAAACGGTGGAGGTCAGTGAAGTGGTACCGAACAAGCAAACCATTGGAAAAACGTTTAAGAAGGATGCCAAGGCTATTACTGAGGCATTGGCCAAGCTCTCGCTGGACGACATCAAGCAGGTGGAGACCCAGTTGGCGGCTGGTGCCAGCTACAAACTGACGCTGCCCGATGGTGCCACCCACGAGCTCAGCTCCGACACCATTGGTGTAAAGCACGGCAGCAAAACGGTGCATGTGGAGGAGTTCATTCCGAGTGTTGTGGAACCATCCTTTGGCATTGGCCGCATCATGTACGCCCTACTGGAGCACAGTTTCCAGTGCCGCGAAGGTGATGAACAGCGCTGCTACTTTACGCTGCCCCCACTGGTAGCCCCACTCAAATGCTCTATTCTGCCGCTCTCGAACAATCCAGAGTTTCAGCCGTACACACAGAAACTGTCCTCGGCTCTGACCAAGGCGGAGCTGTCGCACAAGGTGGACGACTCCAGCGGCTCGATCGGACGACGCTATGCGCGCACAGATGAGATTGCCATACCCTATGGCATTACCGTCGACTTCGATACTCTGAAAACGCCACACACCGTGACGTTGCGTGAACGCAATAGCATGAAACAAGTGCGTGTGGATCTAGAGGAAGTTGTAGACGTGGTCAAGGTCTTGGCAACTGGCCGTGTCACCTGGACGCAAGTGCTTGAGAAATACCCGGTCTTTGAACAACAGGAGGCCACGAAGTGAGCCCCGCTTACACGTAAAGATTGAAGATATTTTATACGAATTGAAAACTTTAATACATTTTTTACGCTATCTGCCTGTTATGCTTTACTCCTCGCGACGCATTTAAAACGTTATTTATATACTATATGATTATCAGTTCAAAAAAAAGCTTAAGTAAAGAAAGTCTCAACTCCATTACTTTGTGAAAAATTGCAATTAACATTTTTATTGACACTTCTATCAATTCATACTTCAAAATCATCCAACTGATTCATTATTGGCACATCCTAGTTCAAATCGTTCGAATATTTAAATACCAGCTCTAGACATCCGTGTTTTCAGGACTATAGTATAATTTTCATGTGGAGTTTGCTTCCAATATTTTTATAAATAAACAAGTTTTTGACATATAGTTTATTTATTGCGACTATATTAAATTGTGGTCTAATTGTTGATCTCCATATTATTTGTTGGGCGTACGGATTCAATGTAAAAGCAAAAACGTAACTCATCAAAAATACGGTGTTGTTTATCTTTCGACACAAATTCGGAACAGAAATTTTGCTGCCTTACTTTAGCCATTAATAAAGTTTCTTTACTCGTCAAGCGGTTTTGAAGAATTTTTTTTTTCGGTACGGAGAGAGTTCTGTTCAGACTAAGTAATAATAATCATAATCGAAACGCAAAATCCGAAACCAGCAATGAAAGAATTTTAAAATTGTTTTAACACGTAAGCTTTTTGGTTATAAAGATATTGTAAACCAATTGTTGTCTTAGATTATGATTGGCGTTTTAAATGCAACTTTTGTTAGCAACTATAAAAAAGTTAGTTATTATTCGTTAGCTTATTCTGCCACATTGAATTCAAATTCCTAGTGGCGTTTTTCAGCACTAATATGTGACGCATTTCCTGCGCTATTTCTGTTTCGCCAAATGGTCACTCTTTGCTTCTCTTAGTCGCTACACATTTGACTGACTAGTCGTAATGTAATGCAAACGTTATAATGCCTTGTTCAAAGTATGTTATTAGTTAAGTGCGGTGCAACTTGCAATACACTGTTGCTATTGTCCAGACCTTTTATCGCTCCGATAACTCCGAAGTGTGATTTTAACGGCAAATCGAATTAGCGAAAGTGCCGCGTGGTTTGCAAATAATTTATGCACAAACACACATGCTATTTAATGGACAATCGTTCACGTGGTAATAACATGAAATACATTTTGGTAACGGGTGGCGTTATAAGTGGCGTCGGCAAGGGCGTCATTGCATCCTCTTTTGGCACATTGCTTAAAGCCTCTGGTCTGGATGTCACCTCCATTAAGATTGACCCCTACATCAACATTGATGCTGGCACCTTTTCACCCTACGAGCATGGTAAGTGCATTCAAATTCAAGTTGAAGGTTATATGTATTTATACAATGCACATACATACATTTGAAATGTATGTATATATATTGCGTTTTGGGCTGTACCTAAAATGTTATAAAACAACAGAAATGTTTTAAAAGCGCGAAAATATTCTAAGACGTCATTTCTTGTGTATTTAATATATCTACACCTATACATATATTGTTTTTGGCATTTGTTCAATACGCTTTGCCCGTGCTGGTGTTGCTATTTGCCGAAAGAATCAATTTATCCGTCTGTGCCCGCCACAGAGAAAAAACAAGAAATTGCTGCCGGGGATTTGTTTCGAAAAGGTCGCTGCAGCTTGTTGCAACCTCGCGTGCCTGAGCAGGACAACTATATATACACATGTATATACATATACATATGCTTATCAGCTGTTGTTCCGCATTCGTGAATCTAGCACGTGGGAGGAAGAAATGTTATGGGAAGGGGCAAATCAATAATAAACAATAACAACAACTCAGCTACAAAGTGCAACTTATTACTTTTTTAATTAAAATATTATTAGACGGTAAATAAAATTCCACATTTTTTTCTATCGACTGAAAATAGAACTAAGTAATTGATTAAAAATTAATATTGTCTGTTGTTTACACAACTATTATGTCTGGTTCTAAATTAATTAAATTAGAAAGCGCACAACAATTACTCATCAGAGGTTTGTTTATGTGCTAGGGAGGGTGGCGTTTGGGTATGTATTTGCTACTCTTAGCCATTTAAAGCCTCCTATATGAACAGCTGATATTGTTGTTGTTGAAATTGGCGGGAATGCATTTATGTATTTGTGTGATGTTGAAAAATATTTGTGTTTCCGTGCAAACAAGAGATTATATTCTATTAAGTAATAGTAAATGAATCATTTATTTTCCGCGCGTATTTATAGAAAATATTTAAATAATGTATGTGTTTATGATGTTATGGGGAAATCAATGGCCTTATTTAAAACTTAAACTTAAGTGTATGTAATAGCAATTTATTGAGGTGGAATAGCAATGTCGACAAGTAGGAGCAATAGGGTTTTCTTACCTAATTACTTCATCCTCCATTGCTTTGTATTCTTCCATCAGAATTGTGCTCTCAAATAAAACGCCGGTTTTTTCGCTTGACATTGAAAGCGAAAGTCTCGTTTTTCTTATGCGCTTTGCCTTGTGGGTGCCACATCTTCTCTTCAACTGCCGGTTTTTGTGTGTGGATTTCCCTTTTCATGTTGCCTTTTATGTACGTACATACTATATGTATGTATGTATATGTATGTGTATACTCGTATGTGCATGTTGTGGGAGAGAGTTGGTCGGCAAAGCTTTGTATTTGAATTCTGTCAAGTTTAACAGCATTGAAATGTTTATTCTTCTCTTATAATTTTTGACCCTTTTCATCCGAGTTTGTTTTCAATAAATAATTAACCAACATTATGTGGAAAAAGAAATACCGTTGCTGTTGGTTAATGACCGAAAAAATCACTGTTTTTCTACGAAAGTCAAGGAACTACTATGGGCTTTGGGCTGTAGATAAGGAGTCCACAAAAAAATATGCGCGGGCTTTGTATATTCAGTTAAAATCCCTTTTTGGTAACTTTTTGTTTAAGTAAACATAAAAAAATCTCATTTAATGATGCGGTAAGAATTTGGAAAATTAAAACTTCAACAAAACAACAAATTATGCGTTAAGAATTTGGAAAATTAAAACTTCAACAAAACAACAAATTATGCGTTAAGAATTTGGAAAATTAAAACTTCATCAAAAATCTATTATTATAGCACTATTTTTTTTACCGCAACTGTAAATACACATATGTAAACACGTATGTTAATATATTATTTGCACAATGTTTTGCAATAACAATAAGTTCCACCTACAGTTTCTTATAATGTTTCGGGGCAAATAGTTCGGATGCATTCCTTTTTAAGCCATTTCTAAACATATTGTTTAAATACCTCCTATAAACAAAATTATTGTAGCACTATCTCGAATTTCATGCGCTCGCTGAACACACTCCATACACCCATTAATGCATAATATGGGAAAGAGCTGCATTACCGACGCTACAAACTCATCTCTGCTGCTCTCCTGTACACGGACCAACTACCCACGCTGCTGGGCACAACAACAACAACATGCATATACAGCAACAGAGCGACGCATATGTATGTACATTTGTTTATGCAATGCAGTGGCAATGCAATTATTGTAAAGTCTCACAAATACATACGTAGATACAGACGAGTATGTTAGTGTGTACGGATGACAGTATGGCTGCATTGAATTTGCATAAAAGTATTAATGTGGGTGTGTGTATGTGTAAGGTTCTGACCCAACCAATAATTAAGAGGTGTTTGCACTGCTATTATCAGTAACCTGCCTTAAAATTTAGCATATTGTATGAAATTTTAGTTATCATTCCACCAAAAGGTTAGCATTTGATGATAAATCACAAACGTGTTAATTAACAATTTCCCCAGAACACAAATATAATTTACAGTTTTTTAAATTTATTTATTTTTAATTGTAAAAGGCTTCTTTTTGATTTTGGATGTAAAAGACAACCAATTTAAGAGTATAAATACGGGTTTACAGAATAAATCCATATAAGAAGCTCTTTGATAAATATTTCAAAATGTGTGTTATATTATAGCCAAAGCTAAAGTGCCCTTCTGTATGACTTAAGATTCGCCTATCAAATATTAAATTATTCACCGCAAATATTAAAAAATGTACTTATGTATAATTAATTGTTAGCTCAGTCATAATGTAACAAAGCCAAAAAAATGTTAAGCTAAAGTTTTCTTTGTTATTACCTCTAAGGAAAAATATCAATTGCTCACATTTCTATCATATATTTGATGATTATATTTGTTTAACCATATGTGAATTATTTAGCCTCTTCTATATGGGATATACTGCTCTGGAATCCTAAATTTGGTTATGAAGAGGTAACCTCAATTAGATAATTTGAGCGCATATCCCAATGCATATTAAAGTAGTTTGCTAAACATTCTTCGCTTCACTTACGTATGCAATCTCTTTCATTAGCAACCAACCTTATTCAACATTGTGTGTGTGTGTGTGTGTGCACGCCACATGTTGCCCCGCAACATTACCCACCCACACTAGCACACACACACAATCAACATTCATGCAGCTAACGGATTTGCTGGTCGCCTGTCTGGCTGTCATTTGCATTTTTCGTTCGGACACGGCAATTCGTTTTTGGGGGTCGCATTGCATTTTCTGACGCTTTGTTGCTCATTTACATCGCCTCCGCTACCTCTGGCTGCGAGAGTGCAGTCGACGCCAGCGTTGACGTCGACGTCGAAGCTGACTGATACGCACATGCGTGTGTGCGCTCGCTTCATTTGTTTTGCGTTAATTGGTGTACATGTGGGCAGGTCGGTGGTTTGAAGGGAGAAGTGTGGTGGACGCGTCGCCATTTTGGGCAACGCTGATTTGCGCTTTTCTCTTATTTTCATTCATTGAAGCGTGCGTTCGAGCAAACAGTCGAGCCTCTACATATGTATATATGTAAGTAGGTTTGTATATATGTATGTCTGTATCACCTACCTTCACCACCCGTTCTTATAGCTTTTGGTGACTGTTGTCAATGTCGTCTGTTATCTTCTCTGCTGCTTCTACCCGTGTCTTTTCTTCTCTTACATGCCACTTTTGCTTCTACTATTGTAGTTGTTGTCTCCTTGCTTTTGGCTGTGTATTTTGCGCGTTTTCGCTTTTGTACTTCTGCCGCTGCGACGGCTGGTGCTCGACGTGTGTTAACGGCGCCGTCTCTTTGGCCACATTAGCGTTTTTAGCCAGAAAAGCGAGGCAAAGCCGTTGTAGTCTCGGTTGTTGTTGTTGCTGCCACTTCAACTTGGCCGCCACCATCAACACAGCAATAACAACAACAAAAGCAGCAACATCAACGCGTCAACATCGTTAGCAGCTGTTGCTCTTTGCGTGTTGCGTGCGTCCATGTGTGTGTGTGTGTGTGGCTGTATGTATGTATGTTTGCTGTTGTTTCTGGACTCCGTCTAGGCGCCCGTTCTCTCCTCTCTCGCAGAATGTTGGCACTGCTCCTGCTGCTGCTTTTGGGCCTGCATTTATTTGCTGCTCGCGCATTTGTTACGCTCACGTTTATGTATGCGAAACGTTGACTGCGACGCCAACTGCGACAATAATGCTGCTTGCCTGCCGACTTTATGCGTGTCTGTGTGTAAAAAATTTAATGAAAAATGGCATGCTGCTGTGGTTGTTGTTGTCGTCGAAAGCAGCAGCATCAGCAGGATGTTACGAATGCTGCGCCACTCTCCACTGCTCACCCGCTGTTTCCCCCATCCTGTCATCCTGGCTGTTGCTTATCAACATTGTTGCTGCCCGCTGCTGCTGATGACTGTTGGCGTTTTTAGGGTCCAGCTACGTGTATGTGTGTGTGTTTGCTCGCTCAATTATGTCTTTATATTTATGTATGCATGTGTATTATGTGTGGTGCGGCCGTTTTGCTCACGCCTGGCAACGCTAACGCGCCAAAATATCGCCTCAGCCCCCACTCTGGTTTTGTTGTTATTGTTTGAGCCCCCACAAATCGCCATTGCAATTAACGCCACGCGGCTGCAAGTTTTCACCCAACCCACGCCCCTAAAATTGGCAACACCAAAAAAAATATTACACCTCATGCTGCCAATGTCTGGTCTGGCACTCGCTTCGGCTCGCCACTGCCGCTGCCTCTGCCATTGCCTTCTGTCGCGTGATTTTAACGAGCCTCCCATCCAACCATCCATCCAGCCATCCAACCATCTATACATCCATCCATCCATCCATCCATCCAATGTTCCATCCATCCATTCGTCTTCTGTCCAAAACGCGCCGGCCTGCCTGCCTGCCTGCCTGCTTGCCAGCCGTAGCCAAGGCTATGGTTTATGCTTTTCGCTCGCTCGTTTGCTCGCTTCCGCGCTCATGATTGTCGTCGTCGTTG